TTGGAGGTTTTGGGTTTGGGTGTTTTGGGTTTGGGTGTTGGAGGTTTTGGGTTTGGGTGTTTTGGGTTTGGGTGTTTTGGGTTTGGGTGTTGGAGGTTTTGGGTTTGGGTGTTGGAGGTTTTGGGTTTGGGTGTTGGAGGTTGAGGTTTCCGAAGGGATGTGTTTGCAAAGTTTTATTGCTCTTAATATTCATGTGCACCATAAGGGATCGACACAAGGACTACTCGTAAAGAACGTCACTCTGCAGTATCGCAAAAACCTCCCGCCTTCCTTGATCAACATCTCGTTCTCGATCGCGCCTGGAGAGCGGGTTGCCGTAGTCGGCAGAACAGGAGCCGGGAAGTCTTCGCTTGCAGTAGCTATCTTCCAGCTTGCTGAGGTGATCACGGGGAGCATCATTTTGAAGGGGAAAGAGTTGTTGGCTGCTTCATCTACCAATTCTGTAGTTACCGCTGGTGGAGGTGGTGGTGCCACTGCTGCTGGTCGTGCTGCTGGTGCATCTTCCATTCCCGATGTTGTAGCTGGCGATCATTTTTCTACTAAAGAAGATGCAATAAATCTCAACACGACAGTTGTATCAACAACAGTCGAGGAGCCTTGTCTCGGTATTGATGAGGCTAGGCGAATGTGCGGGATTATAACCCAAGACCCTGTCGTTTTCGGTGGCGACACTACGATACGGTACAACCTAGATCCATTCCTGGAGTTTTCAGACGAGGACTGCCAATCTGCCTTGGATGCCGCTCAGTTGGGCAAACGATTGAAACTATCGGATATTGTGGATGATGGCGCAGCTAATCTTTCGCTTGTTACGACAGTTTTAACATTGTAGCAAAGTAGAAACAAGAACCTATAATGATCCTCTACTCCAGGATGACCGAAGAACTACATGCCTCAGCTGTTTTGTTTTCAGGTCCAACTTGAAAACTACAGCCGAAAGTAGATCATGTTGGTTCTACCAAAAAATAGGTCAAGGTCTTCAAACAGCCGAAAGTAGATGATGTTGGCTATACAGCAAAATGGATCAACATATGAGCAGAGCCTCTCTAAGCTTTGTGAACGACAACTCCTATGCCTAGCGAGGGTTTTGCTGAGGCGACCTAAGCTCCTTGTCTGCGATGAAGCAACCGCGAGCTGCGATGCTCGAACCGATAAGCAAGTGCAAGAGGCGATTTCTCATTGTTAAGCAAGTAGATTGGGTCATTTCTAGTAGTTTGAGTTTTTGGAGATACTCCTTCTAGTCCTAGAGATCTTCATACACTTTGAATGTTTTTACTGATGTACGATCATTACGTTTTTTATTAGTTTTACTGTGTCGTCGGTAGTGCACTTAGTGTAGTTGGTCTCAGTGGATGTAAGTAAAACCTGTAGTAGAATTACCAGACTGTCATGACCCCTCCCTATCCCCTCTATCCTCCTTCTCTTTCTTCCCAACAACCAAACTTTAGGAAGCGTTCGAGTGTATTAGAATAGTGTAAAGTTAAGGACCTAATAAAGATTAACTAATCCACTATCATCTAGAACAACTGCATTACCAGACTGTCATCATCATTACTTTGCTCCGTTCCTGATTTACAATAAAAAGTACAAGAGTTGTACCTCCTCCTCCTCTAAACTCCGGTTCGAGTGAAAAATCCAGATTGTTGCGTCCTCACCGTAGCACACCGGTTGGACACTATTGTGGATTACGATAGGATACTGGTTCTGGAGAAGGGACGAATCGCAGAAGTAGGGACTGTGCCTGAGTTGCTTCGTGTAGAGAACGGATATTTTGCCAAATTGGTCAGCCACGCTGATGCGCAAATAAGAGCACTTTTCGAAGCGAAACTGGTCGTCGGGGAACAAGGACAAAATGAGGGGGCTGTTGTACTAGAGGAAGGGGCATGCCAGGTTCAGGATCAGCTGAAAGCATAGTAGACGGGCAGTACATTTAGTTAACGATCGTCCTGGTAATTTTTAAGATCGTCCTGGTAATTTTTACATTTTCATGCTCATACTGCCTGGCTGCTGCAGTACTAGGATTGCATAAATGTTGTAGAACTTCTGTTGCTCTTACTGTTGTTTATTGTTGTACTTACTACATGATCTACAACATGGATGTGCACAGGAAGGCGTCTTCACATTGACATGATTGATTCATGAGATTCTGATGCGCTGTATTGTAATGCCTGATGTTTAGAAGTGGATGTTGTACAGCAGATGGACAGAAGATGATGAACAGGACCAAGGCATAGTTACATCACAGTAGTAACATTTCACGCATTCGTATTCAAAATCAGAGCCGGGTGCCGGGAGGCCTCGATGTGCAGGATTCACAACCTAACCTAGCTTAACCTTTTCTAAATAAATGCAACAACTTGTAGTGCAGGATCGATGTACAGGAATGAGCAAGTTCTCTCTAATGACGCGAGGAGATGATTTTCTCAACAACCAATGTTGATCTCCATAGAAAGCAGAGCAGAAGTAGGAGCAGCCGTAGATGGAGTAGAGGATCTTATTCACTTGAGCACCGTCTCATGCTTCAAGAAGCTTCGAGTGTCGTCTGTGGGAGATGGAACGTTGAAGAGCATATTCTCGATTTTTAGACGATGAACATGAATCAAAAACAGGAAGAACACTGGTGACTTCTAGAAGTAGTAGAACTTCGTTCCTTCAAGGCACATTCATAATTAGATATAAATATGTCACATGATGGCATAGGAGGAAATAAAGAGAATATCAAGAAGATCAACATGTTTTTTTCCCCAGCTGAAGAACGTCATCAACATGTTTTTTTCCTCAGCGGTTGTATTTGCGAAGGCACGTGAAGTCTATGAGAAAATGAAGAAGCTCGTACGTGCGGAACATTTTGACGTCGAAAAATTCTTATGGAGGCTACAACAGAAGTAAGCAGGAACTACGCTGTCTAACTGAAACTACGTTACTGAAGTAAGCAGGAACTACTCTGTCTAACTAAAACTGAAACTGTATGTTACTATAAGTATAACATAATGTTAGTACTGACAAGGTAAAAACCAAAAGCCAAACCATGGAGTGATTGTTCAAAAATACTTTGCTTCTATTATGCTTCTAGTAGACCTAGACCTATGATTTACGCTAACAAGGACTCTTGTTGTAGGTGAAGGAAGATTCTTCTAATTTCTTGCACTTTGCGCTCTGGAAACAGTGAAGTGTATTTTCTCGGCGAAAAGTACTCGTTTGCAGAGGAGGAGAAAAATTGCGATAGATTTCTGCAGAGATTTGACGCTTGCCTGGTTTTCACATACAGGCACTCGATTCGTGATCTGAAAAGTGAAGGTGGGGAAGAGATTGCCAGCGATGCAGGATGGGGCTGCATGTTGCGTGTGGCGCAAATGATGTTAGCCCAAGCACTGCTACGATCATGTTCTGCTACTGGTCCTGTTAAGGCTCTCACTAATTCATCTTTGACTTCTTCATGAATGTACACTTGTGAGACTGTATTGTCCCGCTGGTGGTCAAGGAGTACCACTAGGGATGTCAATCAATCAAAAGACTTCATCCTTGAAAAGTGTTTGGGAGTATCCATCGCACTCGCACGAAAAGCTCCCTCGTCATAGTCTTCAAGGATGCAGCTGATAGATGATTTGCGGAGCGGTCTAATGGTTGAACTACAGCAACAGCGCCACGCTCAGTCCGTCGTTGTCTGGCCGATGAGGTTGGAGCTCCTTTGGGTATTCAAGAGTTCTGTAAAATTGGGTGCGAAGGTGCCTTTGGTTCTCGCCAAGTGGGGAAATGGTTCGGTCCTACCAGCGCTGCTTTGGTCGCTGCCGAATTACTCAATCGACATCATGAGAGGATAAAAGACGTGTTGATGCTGTCGGAGGACAGGTTAAGATGATCAAAGCAGTTGTTATTTCACCTTATTCTTACTGTTTTTGGCGTATTAGTACTGTTATTTTGTACACTAGCCTGGTGCCTGGCCGATCGTCCTACAGGAGGTTGCTATTCCTAATCCATTTAACTTCTGTGCAATATTGTCTTTTAGGTGGTCTTGTAGGAACTTCGACAGGGACACACACACATGCCATTTCGTCATATTCTTACGGTGATCGTAATCTTCGTACAATCGTACCGAGTAGAGAGGGAGAGTTGAACATGTTCATGATATCTCTAAAGCGCGAAGGTGGAACATCAAAAATTCCACACGGCATAACGTTTGACGAAGGTCCTGTTTATGAAGACGAACTTCGAAACGCCCTTGAGAAAGGTCCAGCAGTCATGTGGGTTTGTCGAAGACTAGGGTTCGAAGGAAAGCGCGTGCAGTATGAGAGTGGATTGTTGTTATGTTCATGCTTCGAAGGTTCGGATACTGAAAATGAAACTGATGAGAACTCAAATAGATGAATTCGTACTTCTTGTGACTGAACTTTGTGCGATATTCATTTCATTGCATAGATGATGAATACCAGTTCATAAAAATTTCTACGGACAAACACTAAGAATTAGCACTCCCTTATCTTGTTCTTCTAATCATCGCTCTGTTCACGCTCCCGCAATTCTTAGGCATCGGTAGTGGGAACGATGGCGTCTCAGCGCATTGGTTTGTCGGCTGCTACCGCGACAAGCCTGGCGCTGTTGCATCTTTGATGAATACTTCTTATGTGAAGTTGCCCTATTCATCATTTGAAGATAATGCCATCTGTTGTTCTACGGGTGTTAGGAACATGACATCTAGGGGGGCATACGCATGACATCTAGAGAATGGGAAGTAAACTCTCTTTTGTCTGAGGAGATGTAGATGATACGTTTACGTTTGTCCTTCAACAGCGCGTTCTGGAACCATTTCAATTCTACTCAGTACCTACTATTCTTGAAATATTATAAATATCAACAAACTTGCAGTTGCCAGAAGGAGAGAACATCTTCTTCTTCAAGTTCAAACCGCTTTACTTATACCTTGCCGTTGCTTGGCGTTGCGTTTCTCCTCTAAAACTCTACCGCTTCGTCCTCGGGAGAAGTAGATGGAAGCTCAGCAGATCACGATGAACCCTACCTGATCTATTTCGACCCGCACTGTGCAGTCTTAGAAGGTGATACGAGTTTTACTTCTTCAGACGAGGGTGGCTCTCATAGTAGGTTGGCTGAGTATGCAGAGCTGACAAGGAGTTGTTGTTAAGGCCAGTATTGAGCTATAATTGAACATGAAGTTCTTTAGCACCGCCCTTCATACTAAAAAAATGCTGAGAAGAAAAGGAATAATCATAATTATTCATCTTCAGACAGGTCAGGGACGAGTGCCTCCCCAAATACCGCTTATATAATCGGCGTTAGGACGAGTTACAGTGTTCAAATTTGAACTATTCAAAGGACCACAAGTAGGTTACTCTAGTGAATTTTTCGTCAAGTCATAGGTCCCCATCCCTCACCATTCTCTTCTAAACATTCGGCGTCCTAAAGGCACGGTACCTCAACACCAGCCTTTGTCTTGGTTTTTTGCTCACAGATTGGGCCGACTGGGAGGAAGTGAAGGGGAGGCTTTCAGATGACTCCATTGTCCCTAAAGGTTTAGACCTTATTGAAATTCTCAAAGAAAAACCTAAGCCTTGGAATCCTGAGGACGCTGGTGCTCAGCTTGAGGTTCTTGACGATGAAGATGACGATGCGCTTCTTCTTTGATGATCCTTCAAGTGCTGCACTATTTCTCTTTGAAGTTTCTTGTCGAGATCAACAATAAAACTAATGGTTGTTCCTTTGTTAATGGGATTCGGATTCTTTCGTAAAAATGTTTTATTTACTTATTACTAGAGTTGACATTCTACTTCGACGGCATCTGGTGTGGTCATGTGCTTTTCATAGAAGAAAGACGTAGTGATCCACGCAATGTGCCTTTTTTACTACTGCCATGTTGGACGTATTAGTGGATGGGTGTTCATCAAGATGCCATCGCCATGTAAAAATAAGATCTACGTACTGTCTAGAAGTATCATGTGCTGTCGCGACAACGACAAGTAGATACGAGAAAGAGAGAAACGAGAGTTGATCATACGGGGACATGTGTACTAGGTAGAAGTATGCTATTAGAGTGTGTATCTGAATCTGCCAAGTTTTCATGATCTGCCAACGTTATGAGAAGAGTTGTAATGACTTATCTGTAGATAGTGAGAGTCGATGGTTCTCTGAGAGTCAGTGAGATCAGCACGTGGATGTGTTCATCATCTCTAGTGCGAAGATTGATCTGTCAGAGTCAGGAGAGCTGCAGGCGCAATTATATCTGGAGTAGTTCGAGCGGAGGTAGCCAGATGTATGTCTGTAGTGAGTGAAAGCCATGCAAATCAACATTTTCATGCGCAAATTTATGCCTTCACCGCCTGATCTAGAAAGAAGTTGAGACTGAACTATTTAATGCGACTACCAGGATCTCAGGTTCTTCTATGTAATGCGCCCCTTCCCCTCTAGTACTATAATCGATCCCATAATTAGTATTCATGACATGTTTTCTCCACCAGCTTCTCGCCGTTTCTTTCAGTATGAGTTGGTGTTGGTCTATTTGGTCGATTTAGACTAGTTTCGTGTCGGTATTACATCGATATAAATATCGTTTCTCTATGCATGCTGCAAACTACACCCGCCAGGAAGTAAGTAAAATGTTGAATAAGAACGACCGGCAGGGGTATCCCGCCGCAGCTGCGGCCGCGGGTGCGCGACGCTTGTGTCACTATTCCTTAATATTTTCACTTTTTAGTACAACCATTACCGCACTAGCTTCACCAACACCATCAAGGATATCAAGTAGAACTTCCTCCAGTGCAGACCATGATCCTTCTACGAAAACTAGCAAATTTCTACCTCCAACATCTAGATCTACTTCATCCTCACCTAGCATAATGAAGAAAGCTGCAGTGGACGTTTCTTCAGAAGGCGGCATGATCTTGGATGTAGTAACACCGACATCAACCTTCAGTAGGACGCGTTCTCTCCAAACTCTCGGTGTCGGCTCTTCGATGCGCTTCGTGGAAGTGAGCAACAAAGTCTGCTATCTGTGCGAGCCTTCGTCCTTTGAGTTGGTATCCGACGAATTTGCCGGAAAAAGATGCGTGAAGGAATCCGTAACCCGTTCGGGCGATATCGTCACGGAGTACATCTTCAGCAAGCAACTTGGTGCAGAGGATAACGTCATGAAAATCGAAACCTTGGAACAGTGCGTGGCACAAGGAGGTACTGCTGGTTTGAAGTAGCTACAATTGATAGAGAAGACCTTGATGGAACATCAATTATGCGTGGATCAAGGAGGTAAATACAGAATTCTCAAATTCTCCTCGCAGCATAATTGGTGCTTAGCCTTAGCAAGAAGTGAAGAAAGTGAATACACGGTCGCCGTCGCGGTTACTTCACTCTTCATTCGAATCTTCCAGGTACAAAAATCATTAGTTATGTCGTAGGGGCTACGACCTGCAGCTGCACGTGCACCGTGATAGCGATGAATCAAGCTTACCTCCAGTTATTTTCACTTCACCTCCCCGTCGGACTCACACTCAGTTATTTTCACTTCATCTCCCCTGTCCAGTTATTTTCACTTCACCTCCCCTGTCCAGTTATTTTCACTTCAGCTCCCCGTCCAGTTATTTTCACTTCACCTCCCCTAGAATCTATGACCACATCACAGGCAACCGTCTCCTGACTGAGAATCGCTTTTGCAGAGACGTGAGTCTAGAAGCTTGGTCCAGAGCCTATGACAATGACGTCATGTGTCTAGCCTACAAGCGTGAATTCGAGCCTACCTGTTGTCGCCTCCTTGCCCAAGAGCGCTGTGACATCTGTGGAAATCCCCAGAAAGGGGACAACGTTGGACCCCTAGTGGAAAGCAGGCAAAGTGGCCAAACTTGCTTGGCAGAGAATGGGGAGAACTTAATCCTAACTGGGTTCGTGGAGCAGAGGTTGTACCCAACGGCGATGCGGAAACAGTTTTATCGAACACCGAATTTCGACACTGGCGAAACCTCGAATTTGCCTCCTCACGTGGGTGCGCGCGACACCTATACATTGGAAGACGGGGTCCATGTGGTGCAACTGACCGTGGAAAAAGTAGAACGAACACCCTGCACGCACAAAGGTGGAACCCAGGCGCGCCCGTACAGAGCGGTCACGGCGTGCACGACGATACAGCAAGTCTACGTGCGAATCGAAAATTGTGCGCCGAATACCTTGTACAGATACGAGATCTTCCAGCACGTGGAACCGAATCCGCACACACTGAACACAACCTATGACATCTCGATGGAAGTCAACAACGTAAATCACGGAGATCAACCGGTAGGGGGATCAGGTACAAGAATATGAAAGGATTTTGCTGAGATTAACAAGATGAACAGGAACAGGAATGCGAATGTTGGTAGTAATTACCAGCTGCACCTATAGATGATAACAAGATGAACAAATAGAGTTCTAGTACTAGTACTTACCAGGTGCACCTAAACGCCTGTTTATACTCAAACTACATTCTTAATCTTATTCTTCTGCAACTGAAACTGAATTGACGACCTTGGTAATTTCGAATACAAATTTGATCTCCTGCAGCTTGATGAATGCCTTTGGGAGTCGTAGTCTTTTGTGTCTTCGCCTTAAAAAATCGCCAACTTCAACTTCCCCACTCGACCAGGTCGCGAATTCCAGAACTACGTGTCTAGTCATTACAACACGCCCAACAAGTTCGGGTATCATCCGATTTGGAACGCAATTAAGGGTGTGGACATCAAAGACCCCTTCAATTTGCCTCGACCTAGGCAAGAAGGGTATGCTATCGCCAGCATGGAAGGCGTGATTATTATGCGTATGTTCGCGAACACTACGTTAAGGCTCAAAATTATTCATTTAGTGTGAGTGCTATAAGTGTGAGAGTTGAGAGTTGCTCATTCGTCTGCACCCGAAGCACAACATTCTCTTCAAGGTCAAGATCAGTGGTTATGGTTAATATGTGGTCAACAATTCTTTAAATTCATACATTTACAACTACAATGGTCAACAACTACATTCTTCTCACTCTGTTATAGTTTCCTTCTACTTGAGAACTACAACAATGAATCGGAACAAGATTAATAGATGATGAACTGCAGATAATTATAATATTGAAATCATGAATGGTCCACCTCTTCTTGAGAAACTGGATCTTCTTCTAACTATGAGGGATTCCATTCTTCTATCGGGGTTGAACTTGGAACGGGTGAGCAATTTGGGGAGGTCGACGGTGGAAACGATCATTCCGAATTCGCCATGGCTGCGACAGCGGACGCCACCGCAAGTGCGGATAAACAAGTATGACCAGGAGAACAGGTGTATCCTGGATGGCGGAGCGACCCTTGGAGGGCCAGTCACCTGTGATGAAGTGCAATACCACTGGGCAAGCAATTTCAGGGAAGGCTCTGAGGGATGCAAGCATTTACAAAAACAATTTCGGGATGGCTATTGCGATCGATCAGTAGGAAAGAGGAGAGCGGTGCTAGAATTTTATTAAATTTTGAGAAGATGACCTTTTGCATTTTTTGATGCACCTTGTTCATGTTCTCTCCTAAGAAAAAATTCTCTTAGCATCTCGTCTTTGCATGTAAAACATCAACATGTTTTTGTACTACAAATGCGATAGCGTCGATTCCACATCCTGACAAGAAGAATATTTATCAAAAAATCAAATACAAATCTCTACTCAGGGTTGTTGTCGTGGTGGCGCCCCTCCACCGGAGTATTGTGATTACCTCGAAGCACAAGAAGCAGCACTGGCTAGACAACGTGCAGCAGCGGATGAGGAGGAGCCTCGTGATGTGGTCGGCGAGATCCTAGGCATCATCACGATCGTCCTAGTCGTCGTTGGCAGCATTGTGTTCTACTTCTTCGGCAGGACTATCCTGGCGCAATTGCGAACGTTTATGACACAGGAGGAGAATCGTCAATTCTTCGCTAGAATGCGTGCGAGTGCGGAGTATGGGACTAAGATCGCGGATGAACAACAGCTGGCTGAAGCAAGGGCAACAGAGAATAAATCCTCTACTTCGACAAAGAAAGAGCAAGACGGAACCACGTCAACAGCCAGCGGAACGAGTGGAGGAGGCGATGGAACCTCAACAACGACTACTGAGTTAGCGCCAAGGCGGGATGACGAAACGGAATCCCAATTTGCGGATCGGCAAAGTAGGCTTGAGGCAGCTCAGAAGCGAAGAGCAAGGAAGAAGCGAAGAGCAAGGAAGAAACGAAGAGCCGCAAGGAAAGCTGCTGGTGAAGATGGGGACGATGCCGAGAGCTCATCTCGGACCGGTACGAGTGAAGGAGGAGCAAGTGAAGGCTCGGGCAGTGACGATGGAGACGGGTCTTCGAGTAAAAGAAGCTCCGATGAGGACGGTTCTGATCCATCTGGCAGTTCTGATGACGAGGATGCAAACGACGAATACCATCTGTCTATGGATGAAGAAGCAAAAATGAAGCGAGCACGCAGACACGCGAGAAAGATGCAGAACGTCGCTGAACGTCGTGGAGCCCGTATGAGTGAACTCGCGTCAGAATTTTACACATCAAGGGGGTATGAGAACGGCTGCGTCAACGCGAGACCGGCAGACACGCGGGATAGTGTGGAAGGCACTATTCAGCGAATGCGCGAGCGAGAAGCGGAGAGTGCACGTCGACGAGCAAAGATGGCGGGTCGACCAGGGGAATTGGATATGAATTCGAAAGTCCGCAAAAAATCCTCTAGGAAAGCAGACCAAAAAGAGTCCTCCTTGTCGAAAAAGGGAGGTAGGAAAAGACCTGCACCGCTAGAAGATCAAAATATCAAGTAGAAGTTCTTGTTCTAAGTCTCTCTGATAGTCGTCGTGACGATCTTGGGATCAAGAAAAAAAGAGATCGACATCAAGCATGGATCTACTGCGCATAATGCTCTAGATCAAGGACCAAAAAGTGATCCAAAAATTGAAAATTATTACAGATCCAAAGAAAACCTGGGACGTCGATCCAAATCTTCGCATCAATCACTCTCATATTATCCAACCATCGCAGTCGTGTTACTTGAGTTGCGCGTTTTGTTAAAAAGGTATCAATATAGGAGTCCGCTATTTTTAAGGAAAAATCGTAATCGAAGCTTTCATCTTACACACCTTGAACATCAAGTACTTTTACTAGCACAAGCAACTAGCATTATAGAGAAGTTGAAACTGGAAGAAAATCAAGTAGTGGCCAAGACAAGGCAGAGGAGAACATCAAACCAGATCATCAGACAACTCGTTTATCCATCTACTACATATTAGTCTTACTTGAGCCTATCAGTTGTACCTTTCTTGTTATTGTTAAAGACTCACCAACCAAAAAAAAATGTCGTCTTCTATGAGCAAGATGAGCTTGGCTTCTGCATCGCAGACGCTTGTCTCGATGGTTTTCTGGTTAACCACTCTCTTGTCGGTCTTGCCACAGAGCTTAGTTGATGCAGTGCCAGTGGTCGTCCGTCGTAGACCCTATTTCTATCGTCCTTACTACGATCCTTTCTACGATGATTATTACTACCACACGCCTACTGTTGTGGTCGTGGATCCTGAGGTGGCCGCAGCCATTCATCGAAGACGGATGATCAATTTGTACGTCTTTCTAGGCGTCGTGGGCTTCTTTTTGCTGTTGTCGATCCCGTTCATGTTCTGCCGCCCAAAGCGCGAGAGGGTCAGTGCGGCTGATGATGTACTTACTTTGATTTTTTAAGAGTACAGGTTAAAGGTGCTTTAAATTTCTTGCCGCTTTTTATACCTCTCTCCCTTAGGATGAGAAAGGCATAGAAAGCGGGATAAGCGAGCACCAAAAGCCTACCTCTAAGTTGTGGTTTAATTTGTTCAATTTTTACAATTTAATATTGAGCCTTCTTCATAAAATGGATACTATCCAAAAATGACAGGACGAAGTGGATGTCTATGACGCCAAGGACCGCTATCAGGTGACGTATGCGGGTGACAGTGCGGATACATCCGACGAGGAGGAGATCTAACACAAAAGGATAAGTTTGAACAAGGCATATACTGTGAAACATTCGATGAACAAGGCATATGTAATGAAGATGGTATGGACAAGAAGATTACGACGTAGGTGGGGACGTACCTTGGGTCCTGATCCTACTTAAGCAAGAACAGTGTGAGAAGGCAATCGTTATCTGCAAAATAAATTGTTTGACGTTTTGGTTTTGGATAAAACAGATTTAGCTTGTCTACTGAAACTACTGACGCGCGCGAATAAATGTACAACCCCCCAAGAACTCTGGATGCTCACTCGAAAAATGGCACGATTGTCGTCTATCCGAGTAAGTATCTTGTTACAACATGTTGTCTACAACATCATGATGTCTTCGCATTACATGTCTTCGCATTAGTCTAATTAGAAAAAAACAGGTGTTGGTGACTTATGGAATTGAACAATCTCCAGTTTCGTTGGAGAATCGTCTTCAAAATAATCTATAAGGTATGTTGACTATGTTGAAGAAGAACAAGTGGTGGGGCCATAACGAGAACTACAACAACGATTTGGATCTAATGAAAAGGTTTAAAAATCGACGCCGTGCTGATGATTCCGGATTCACATGGTTGTGGGTCCTGAATATGATTCATGAGTGATCATCCAGGTTTTTCCACCTTAATAAAGGTTTATTTTCCACCCTAGAGAAGAGGAAGACCAATGTTGAGCATGTATATGCAAGAAGCATACTAGACTTCTTCCTCGCAGAAATAGACATCGCGGAGAAGGTCTATTCCTCGACAAAAAACCATTATTGTTTTTCAATGCTTACGATGAAAAGTTGTACTATTCTTTGGTACAGCCTGATGAGCCACTCATTATAATGAAACAAGACGAGGAATGTCTCTTTACGACTTGCGCGTCACCTTGGGAGAAGCTCTTTCCGCAGCTGCACAAGTATGTTGTTCTCGAAAACAGGAAGGAAGGCTCTGCCATGGAAATTTTGCGCCTGAGTGAGTGAGTGAAATGAAATGAGAAAAAGACCAAAAATATGTGCTGGTCTCGGTCATTCGAACTGCTACTACTTTTTACACCTCCTTATCTTCAGCTCCTTAGGCACTACAAAAGCTACACTATAACAAAATGCATGTTCTTCAACTATGAAAATGAAGCTTTGGCTGTGCATCTTCTCACGACGTGGCTACTAAAACTAATACTAACTTTTTCTACGAGGACTGAGATGTGAGTCAGTCGTCCACCGTGATGTCCTCTTCCTCATCGCGTGTAAGGAAGCACGGACGGGGAGGCAACTACGATCAGGTGGCCGCAAGAGCAGGGGATGAAGACGTTGATGTCGGAGGTGGTGAAGAAATTTTATGGCTTAACTAAACTAACAACAGCACTAAACTGATTGAGCTAAACGCTGAGTAAAGTCCAAGTAGCTAACTACAGCGACGTAGTTCGTTCCAGTTGAATTAAAAAGTAGAAGCTAAGAACAGCGTAAGTTGTACATAGTCATAGAGACTTTTTTTTTTACTCTAGTACACCTCGTACTCCTGTTTCTTCACGCTAAGGTCTTCCCAAGAACACGAGGATGGTGAAGCAACAAGAGCTTTACTGACAGGGCGGACGCGGCGAGGTCGACTCAGTAAACGAATCGTAAGCAAACATGTTGGACTCGAGGACGAAGATGGCGAACCACTCCTGGGATCTACTTCGACTGAACAACAAGAAGACGAGGCCATCGTAAGTCTTCCAATACATCAGACATCGAAAACGAGTACATGTACTACAGCAAGTACCAGAAGCACTGCGAACAAGAATAAGAAAGCACATCCACATAGAGCAGAGGCGTTTGAGGTGGAAGACGAAGGCGACCGTGTTGGATCTTCCTCGCCGAAGCACAAGCAAAGCCAGGGAGCACGAGCACGAGTAGCAGGTGGCTTCTGGAGTTTCGTCATCTGTGTGCTCAGTTTGTTCCTTATCCTCTTCCTTGTCGCCTTGGATTCGCTATTCTTAGGTGGATTGGTTCGAGAGAGTCTCCACAGGGCATTCGAGCAGAGGAGCTTCCCAAGTTCCATAGCACCTCATCAACTACGTGGAGGTCACGATGGAGGTAAAAGAGGTGGTAGGGGTATCAGTAGGGACGATGGAGACGAGAGGACATTTTCCTCGTCAAGAACAAGTAAGAGGAAATTAGATGATCAAGAACAAGAGGCAAAAATATTAGATGACGTGGATCGAGATCGAGATCATCTCCCAGATAATAGGTTCCGAGGAGAAGTACAACCAGGTACAAGTGGCAGCGATGATCATGATCAATCTGGTAATGTTGATCAATCTGGTCTCTTCTCTCAGAAAGTAGATAGACTAGGCGAAAGGCAATTGCAGGCGAATGAAACGGTGGCACAACTAGATCATGCTCTAGTACTTCTCGCTGAAGATGAACAAGTTCTCCGTTTAGGTTCGACTCTTGGTGCTGGTAGTTCCTCGTTTACGGAAAGAACGGGAACAAACGCCGGTTTTGGAACAAAATGCGCCCCCCATGTCACCTTAAGCAGGGTGGACGAATTTTTTTCTCAATTTGTTAATACAATAGAAGCAAAGCATTTTTGAACACTCACTCTCACTCCGCTATGGTTTGGCTTTTGGTTTTTACCTTAGAAAAGGTATGCGTGTAGCAATTAGTGCAGCTACCTTAACCTTGCAGCTGCTCGTTGCACTTTTTGCTAATGCTAAGTTGTAGCTTCTTGGCTATTAGAAGATTAACCACTACGCCAGCATCCTCGTGATCTCGCACGTCTACATGGTTCTTCGCTCTACTTCTAGTAGAGACGAAAAGAAGCCAGAAGTCGTGAGCAGCAGGACAACTACAATTATATATATGTTAATATGCATAGGGATAGCTACAATTATATATGACTCAGGGCCGAACGGCCCCCCCTCCCCCCCCCCCTGTGGTCTGGTCGGTGGTGGCGCGCTTTTCCGCGCGGATTTTTCGCGGATTCTCGTGGTGGAAGGCCTCAAAACTTGGCGCCTTCCTCCCCTTGGGCCTCTCAGCGTGTTCCCGAGGGCCATGGTCGCAAGCAAGCCGCTGCCGGTGCACTGCTGCCATCTAACCCCTCAAGTCTGTAGGGTACATGCAAACGAGAAGGAGGCAGCGAGCCCCTTGGCCCCCCTCGAGGACTTCCGCCGACGTCGGAGGCCTCTAGGGGAACAGCCAAGCAGCTGGGACGGAGCGGAGGCGGCCCCCCTTGCGGCCCTCTTGAGGCCTTCCACCTACGTCCGAGGCCTCTAGGGGACCCCAAGCACCTGGAAGGGAACAGGGGGGGGGTGGGGGGGCCCGGCAGAGGCCTCAAAAAGGGCTCCAGGGCGCCCGCGCCCCCTCCCGCTAAGGGGGGGGGGCGTCGCCCCGCGCCCTGGAACATATGTTGATATGCATAGGATAGGTTCACTATTTTTTTCTTTGGTAGCTACAGCAACTCGGTTATCATCAAGAACAACATACAAATACTCTTCAACAACATCTTGATGTTCTCGAAAATTTTTTTTGTAACTGCATCGGTATCTTCAGTAACTGTTGTAACTCAACATCATGGACGAGGGAATTATCTATTAATCATCTCTTTCATAGATGATTATTTACAGATTCCCTCCTCTCTTTCATAGAGGATCAGTAACTCAACATCGGTTCTGATGCTTATCAATATCTCTAATGAAGAACTTTGCTCAGGGAGATGGCAAACTGTTCTATAAGTCCGAGTCGCAGGTCGCAGGCCCAGAAAGACTGGGGGTAACGGTGACAATTCCGGATGCGCACGCCGGATCGGACGACGGGGCGCTCGAGTACCATTCGTGTCTACGCGGAGCCTTCGGTATTACGACGCCGAAGCGTCCTTGGACTTGGACAACGGAATTGGTTCTCGCATTATGTTGTTGAAAGGAAGAAAATTGAAATTAGAACGCAGATACTTCTCATAGGAGAAGAAGAACAATAATTTCTTAAGTATAGAAGATGAGAATAATAAATTAATGATCATATAACTGATATTTAGTGTTCATCCACTTAATTTTTTCATAAATGCGGGGCGTCTACGACAATGTAGTACTTCCGAAGAAGGATAAGAAACCACGCACTGACGGTGAGCGAATGGCGGCTGCGCAAGTGGAGCAACTTTTGCTGAATAAAGTGGAGCGATGCTGTGGAGAACACTTGAATTACAAATATCGCTTAAGGCCGGGGCAGCTAGTTCGTTGTAGAAAAAGTACTTCTTGTACTAGTAGAAAACGTACTACTACTTGTTGTTCTTGTACTAGAAGTTGTAGATAAAAAAAAGTACTTCTTGTACTGGTAGAAAAAAGACTTGATGTAAAAGTTCTTCGGTAGATCGTTCCTCTTGATTATAATACGCTCTTCTTGTACTTGTTCTTCCGATGAAGTAGTAGGTTCGTGACTGTCAACCTACTTCATCTTCTCTTGGTGATCATATGCAGCTACATCTTCGTTCCTCTTCCACCTCAGCTTCGCCTTTGTTCTCTTAGGCGACGCCTTTTTTCTACAGATCCACCAAAACATCCTGAATCTCGCTCAAGCTTTACATCAAATCTAAGGACGACGATGACTACAAAGGGCGGCCATTCTCATTACGATTCTGCTTACGCGGAGTCGCGGCAAAACCCAAAGAATCCGGAGTATGAATCGGTTGAAAAGCAGTGGGGTCGCATGGTCTTCTGGGGAGTGCATTAAGAGAAAATTGATAACCTATTCGTCTAGTTCTCAAAGTCGTGGACAGCGAATCAGACGGAAGAAGTTGTGGGGCTTCCAGAATGATTGGCTTTGTTACTTCTAACTTTTGATGTCACCTCTAACTTTTGATAATACTGAAAAAAGACAAAATGGAAGAGCTGTCGAACAGATGCTATCCCCTTGCGACGGACTCGGGGTGGGCCGTGATGAGTGAGGGGCTTCAGCCGCAGCAGGGCTACGAGTGGTCCACAACCCGATTGGTCTTCCGCCTGTATAGTGAGTATCCAGATTATGTTGACGGGATGAATACACCAGATTTTGTTATAGAAGTTGAGATGTACTCGACTAGTACGACTATTAGATGTACTACTCGACTCATTATACTCACGACATAAACTTAATGAGAAATCTGTCTGTCATTCTATTTCAACAGGATCGTCTCGGAGTTCCAAACTATAGTAGTTGACGGGAATACTCAACATAATATGTCGACATCCTGTCTATAGTGGGTCTCCAGATTATAATCGGGACTCTTTTTGCAGGTCTTGCACTCATACTCAATGGGAGGACGAGGAATGTACCACCTACTTAGTTGTAGTTGTACCACCTAGTAGTAGCTCTTGTTCTTGAGGGGCTCAGAGTATGAGTACGTTTAATATTTTCTTTGTGTTCATATGAAGCGCATTTTAGGTGGCACTGCGGTAAGCGCTTTGAGCACAGTTCCCAATGGCGAGGCCGAGCCGCGTAATCTTCCGTCTTCAGTTGGAGGAAATGTTAAGGCAGGGACCATTTGTTTAGAGAAGTATTGAGTCTTTGGCCTTTCTCGGTTCAAAACTCATATTAGGGCAGGGACCAACAGAAACAGTCAACAGAGCACCATCCACGGCGATTCCTTCCAGGGACCAGATCATGATCGAGAACATTCTCGGATGTTTATTTCGATTTCCTAGTAAGAGGAAATAGGTATAGGAGTACGAGGAGTACTTTGTTTTCAATAATCTATATCATATCGTATTGAAAAAGGGTAAGAACGGTCGTCGTCAGGAAATCATGTTAAAAAAACGCCAAGTAGGTCGTGTTCGTGTAAGAGGATTCAGATACAGTTGCCAGGAGCGCAGATGCAGTATGAGCGCGGTGCTTCTAGCTCTAAAAATGGTGGCCGAGGACAGCCCAGCGATGCTTCTACCTTTGCGCCACCTGTGTGCGAGGGACTGGGGAGCAGTATGCTTCCGAAGCAGGAACAGCTAGGGACGCTTCACCCGGATACCATCGTGCAAATTGAGCTTGGTATGTACGGCGCCACTGATTGAGAACAAGGGTTATACAGGGGTAGGACACTACGTCGGGCTGCATAGCGGTGTCCTTGATGTAGCAGACATCGCACGCTTAGGGAGTACTATAACGGGGTATGAGTAATGTCGTCCAGAGGTGTTTTTAATGTTCTTTTTTATAGCTCTTCGTGTATCCAGGGGGCAAAAAGAAAAACAAGTACTTACTTCCAGGTAAGGGGCAACGCAAACGTATCATAGTTCCTTGGAACCCGAACCGACGACATAATTGATAATTCACTACTTGTTGGTATTCTTGGTAAAAAGTATGCACCACGAGCGATCTCATTCTCAATCAGTCGTGACATCGCCATTCATCCCAAGTGTTTCGCATATGCAGTGATGTTCAACCTGGCAAGGGTCGGGTGGCTTCAGCCGCTTTGTCGGCTGTCGCCGTCAGGAGTCTACGAAACGATACTTTTCGGAGCCATGGGAAATTATGGCAACATCAGTCTAGTCTACTTGTTAGAGAGTCGTCTTCTGTTATCAACCGGAACCGGCTCTAACCGGAACCGCTATTATACCTTAGGTAAGGAGGTTGAGAAGTCTCTTCATCCAGCCTATGTATTATTCTTCTGTGGTCCTGATGGTCAGTGTAATACGGCTCCTTAGGTAGTGTAGCTTTAGCTAGAACTAGAACACGGAGCGAACGCATGACGTGGCCAGCGTTTAATCTTGGGCGAGTAAAAAAACTGCTCTTATTACTCGGAGTTCATCATCTTTGATCGCTCAACAAGTCAATCATGCGGAAAAATATGTCCACCTGATGAAAATCTCGCGCCGTGTCACCGCTACATAGCCCTAGCGAGTGCGCCCCATGCAGTCTGCTCCACCCATTCACCTTACACCAACTTGCGTAGAATTCATTGCCCCCTCCCCTCCTCTCGGTATCCCCAGGTACAGGGTCCCGCCCGCTACCATGAGGGATTTAGTAGCCAGGTGCATCAGCAGGACGGAAGAATGGGGGCCGGTGGGCTACAGGATAGCCATGGATCCGACTCTCGCTCCTTGTCAACGGTAGGCGGACGCGCGCCCTGATTAGGGCGTGGCCACTGCCGGGCGGCTTTCCCCACAGTGGCATCCGCGGGTGTCAAGTGGGCGAGGCCTGTGGTCGCGCTGTTCAGTTCGCCGCAAGGTGCCGCCGCGCTGACCAGGATGAAAGAATGAATGAAAATGAATAGATAAGTACAATATAATTATCCAAAAATATGTGGATAAGAACCTAACCAACGAACAGCTCCTACACTCATCATCAGGCTCAAATCGAGGTCAATATTGACCATGACTAAGGAAAAAGACGCTCTGTTTTGGTGGATGACCGCTTGATTCTCTCTCCTGTGGGCGGTATGGATATCATGTGGAGATATAAGCTTAAGTTAAGGCTACCGCTGCCGCATCCTTAAATAACTTCATCATCCTTGGCTTCTTTTTCAAGGGCGAAGTAGAGGGCTCACGAATGAGCTCGAGGATGCGACGCGGTAGCTCTAATTACGGGCTTGTATGGACAGTATATGCTATCACCAGTGCTTGACACCTCACCAACATTATGGCCTTCACCTTCACCGAAGTGAGATTATATCCCTTCTGCTTCTTCGAAGTGGTTAAATGACAATTACCGTAGCAAGTCTAGTAAGAAGTGAGATTAATATTTATATGTATATCAAGGACAATCAATGCTTTTTAGGACAACTTGGCAGGATGTAGGTTAACAAAATTGACACGAATCGCATTCAACTAAGGACAAACATCAAAAATGAAGGCCTCTCTGTCAATTCTGACTTTCCACTGCTGTGCAGAAGCTCTGAGTTCTAGGCTCCGTGTGTTTTCTTTCCGTTGTTAAAAGAATTTCATTTCCTTTGGTCTTCCTCGGTCTATCTCATTATATGTATATCTTTTACCTACATCACCTTCACCGTATGTAGTTGTAAATCTAAGAAGTCCAAATAATGCGGTCGTGTGGTCCTCTAGTACTTTTTAATACCGTATTAAAATCTTAAATCAATCTCTATTCTAAGTATCGGCAGCTTGTGGGTGGACAGCATTTATTGTTGATTATGAACATGAATAGCGGCTTAGCACTGCCGTTGTATGTAATCTTCGTAATTGATCAGTAGTCTTGGAAGGAAAGGAAAAACAAAATGTCTTGGTAAATTGTAAAATAAAAACACTCTAACACAAGTGGAGTTGCAGCTGAAAGGGTACACGAAAATGATTGGTTCATACGTCTCTACCAATAAAGGAGGAGACCCAAGGGTTGCGGGACTCACACTCGCTGGACCATTCTTAAGGCCCTCTAACAGTCGCTGATGATGAAAAAAAGTAGATAATTAAAATTATCCATCTACTTCTATGTTGTCATTATGTTGGAGTATCTCTATGTACGGAGTCGCTCCTCCTGTCGCTCCGAGGAGGAGATCCTCTTCTTGAGTGGAGGTTCTCGTCTTGTTATTTGGTAACCTAAATTCGGTCACAGGAGATGGCGCTTTCTTCTTGTTTTCTCGTTTTTTCGCATCAAAGAACTGAGACAACCACAACTACCGAAATTTATTCCTATAAGATTTATAAGATAATAACTAACTAACTGACTAACTAACTGACTAACGAAATTTTTATAAACCAGCAGAAAAATCTTTTTCTGAATTATAGTACATCACTTCTAACATTGAGTCCCTCGCGGCCGGACACGCCCGTGGTCGACACTGGTTGGGAGCTAATGTTTGATCCTAGAACCAAGTACGCACAATCTGTGACTTACCGCAAAACCAAATCTGATAGTCGACAGTTGGACGTAAAGGAATTTAAGGTTTACCAAATTGCATCCCGCACTCGAATCCTTGTCTCTTTTTCTACTTGAAAAAGGCGCCGAGGATGTTCTCAGGAATACAATTCTCTAACGACTTGATGGACCAGTTCGATGTGAAGCAAGCTGAGATGTTAAATGTGGAAGGGTACATGAATTTAAGGAGCTCTGTTCTTACTAGCTTTAATAATATCCATCTTATTTGTTTCTACTCACCAGGAGCATCTCGATGATGATACAACACATCGTACACATTTTGATGGTACGAGCGCCCGAGGGCGTACCACGTGCGAGGCGATCGGGTCGCGCGCGAAAGAATAATAATAATAATAATGATTTTGAAGTTTCCCTTGTATTCTTTTCAGCATCTCAGTGATATTACTTATACACCTTTTGTTTCCCTTGTATGTTGATTCATAATACTTAATTTTTTCATGGGAAAGTAAGTAGGTCGTGCTGGTGGACGAGCCCACCCCCACCTCATCACATGTTCTTTTTGTTTTCGCTGGGTCATCTTCGTTATCTAACGGAAGAAGAGCAAAATCCGAATCCATCGCAGTGTGAGATCTTCGCGGGATGGGTAGGGAGAGTCGTGCATCTTGTGGTCTCACGTTTCCGTCAGCAGTATCGCAAGATGCTGCGAGAAGGTAGCTCGAAGACTGCCAGCATTGCAAACGTCGTTAAGGGTCGTTTCCGAATTAGAACAGTCGTACACTGCCAATAATGCTTCTCCTCAATCCCGGGTTCCGGCACGTGGCTGCGGTGGGGACCCCCTGAGCCTGAATCTAGTGTGCTGACTTGCTCTCGGGGCCTGGCTGCGTCGGGTTGCGCCTTAGTTGTTCTACAGGGGTCGAGTGTGCGGCTCTTCCGCGGATAGGTGTAGACTTGTTGGCCGAATGTGCGGCCTTTTGCGCCCCCAGTATGTAACTGTTTAATTATTTAATTTACTAGAAATGTTGTATATATTTATAGTTATATGGTTGATTAAAAGATGGGCGGTGGCATATAGTCCGAACGAAAAAAAAAAGTACTTCTACCTCTCTTGGCGAGGAACCTGGAGAGGACCCGAATCGAATCGAACCACCCTGGCTCTTTTCGTAGTAGAAAAGAAGCCAGCTTTGTTCAATATGTTCTGAGGAGAGGAAACTACATTCCGTAACCTGCTCTAACATCGTGTGCTCACTCTCCTCTCTGAAGGCACACACCGTCTCGTCGGAAATGAAAGTGAAAGAAGCTGCCGAATATCTGCTCGCGCAAGGAAAACGTGAGAAGTGGGATGAACGTGAATTCGAACGTAAGGGAATGGGAGGACAGGTTCTGAAACAAAACTACCAGGGCTGCGAAGACTGGCTTGTATGAGGCCACTCATTGAGAATCCAAGTTACAGTGGAATGTCAAGTCAGGCTTGGCAGATGAACATGACTAGTACTTGTACTAGTCGCAGCAGCATGAGCATCATCTTGTTTTCCTTTTCCAGGCGACGAAGATGACGAAGGTAAAGGGGGAACGACCTTCCCCCATCGGCATTCTCAATGAGTGGAAGCATTCTTCATGGTTCTGGCTGCGGTTTCTGAGGGAGCAAAAGTTTTTGGCCATTTTATGACACCACGAAAAAGCGTTCCTGGAGATTTTGTACTCATCATGATCCACCTTGATGTCCTCAAGAAACTAGGCTACTTGGAGGTCTAATTACTAGGAAAGAAAGTGCCTCGTTTCTACTGGAGTATGTAAGTTGAGTACACTTTTTCCTTCCACATATATCGGACGAAAATCACCAAGTCTTCAGCAGCAACTCATTCATGCAGAGTCGCGCCATGATGTTGATGAATCAGACAGCGACAGCGAGCAGTACGAAAACGAATAGTTTCTACTTTGAGTTAAGGCTTCCCCTAATCCATCTCCAGAAGTAGCATCTTCAGGCTGCCTTATAATCAGTGGAGAACGGCTTCACGATGCGTAGAGTTCCAAGATGGACTAGGGTAAGCTCTAACTGAAGCAAGTCCAGCCGGTTGGTCATTCTTTGAACTTTCAGAACATCTCAATGCGGGTGAAAACTGTTTATGGAGGCTCAGAACGGATGGGAGGAGCACTTGTTCATCTTAAAGAGAAGCACGACAGAATCAGAACAATACCGATATTTGTTCTCACCTCGTGTTAATGTTTTTCCTAGGAGGTATGATACATAGGTGGTAGGCCTGATTCATCATATCTTCTGTGCGGCGGGCGTTCTGTGCCCGTGCTTTGTCTTTAGGATTCAGCCGCTCTTTTTGTTTGCTCTTATTTCCCTGTGGTTGTGCCGTTATCAAGGAGGGGCCGCCCCTTGGGTGGCCCCGGTTTCTTGTAATCACATATCTCCTGTGCGAACATAATCATAGTGCTTATGTCCTCTTTGCTCTAACCTCTATGGGCGTCACGTGTAGTTCGTTTCCAGAAGACGATGCTGAAGATGCTGGCCCTCACGGCGACGACAAGAGTGCTGATCATTACGAAGATGATGGTGACCACGTGGGTCGTGAAGAGGATGGGCAGGGGCATCAAGACGAGATCGGCCAGCAGGGACCTGCAGAGGGGGGCCAGATGATTACGGAGCAGGACGAGCAGGCGCCGCCTGCCGAACCTGAGCAGGACGCGCAAGAGCATATCAACAAGGAGATCGAGGAAGCGAAAAAGGCTGCGGAAATGAATTACGGAGGTTGGAATGGCTCTTCCTTGATATCCTTGATTGATCATTCAAAAAGTCTAGACCTCTCACCATTCTTTGTCAAAAGTGTAGGTACGGGGTGACCAGATACTCCTCACCGCACATCTACTCCTGTCGACTTTGTATTTTCCTAAGTACTACTACCACTAGCACTAGGTCCTCATCCTCTAAGGCAAAAAGGACGCAACATCAGAAACTCGTGGTCCAGGACACAAGGAGCCCAAAACGAACAAGGCATCGATGAACGAAGCTCAATGGCGTGAGAAGATCCGAAGCGAGGCCATTGGTTGCAGAACAGAGCATACTATGACGCACTGTTTCTTTCTCATACTTGCAAATATATGATGAAGTCTTTTGTTCACAAGAAGGAGGTGCCGCGGGCGGCCATCCACTGCATTGAAAAGTTACTCTTATTTCTTTCAACTTCTAAAAAAGATGCCGCGCAACAACCTTCCCTTCTAGCACTGTACTGAATATAAATGAACTACTCTTTCTTTCAAGAACGACCTCTAAGTCGAAACAAGGCGAGGCTCATGCCCTGTGTCCATGCTTGATGGAGCCGGCGAACGCGGATTGGATGTCCCTTTGTGTCCTCATCTACGTGGACTCAACAACCGGCAACGTGGGCAAGTTTGATCTAACTTTAAGGTCAGCTGTGTTTATCCATCTTTCTCGGCAGCACCTTGGTACCCTGTACCCTTGTATTTCATCATGGGAAACAACGGGTCGAGGTGAAGGGGCCGACGAGATGAATAAAAGCCGACGCAGCTAATAACTTCTGGCGGAGGCGGTCTGGTGTCGATAGCCAAGAAGACCTATGTTAGGGCTATATCTCTGACGTCCTACTTCACAACCTCAATCCTTGACTGATGTTTTTTTAGCCACGAAGATGATCTCCATCTAGAAGAAACAGAAAGTTTCTATTTCATCATTCCCTTTGATATAAGAAAGGATGATGGAAGAATTTATACTGCAGCCTCTTGCTGTTCTACCTACTTAGTATGTTCTATAATCAGAGCTATTAATGCATATGCAATTATACTGCAAGTGCAGCCTCTTTCTGAAGGCTTAGGAAAGCCGCCCTATCCTATCCTATCCTATCCTATCCTATCCTATCCTATGCTCTTGTTGTTCATGTTCTAACTATGAAAAGATAAAGACTTCCGTTGGAGATGCAGCTGCATCTTCGAAGGCGCTGGAGGAGTCACAATTTGTACGCAGGTTACTCACGCGCAAGAAAGTGAACAACTTGCATCCGGTGGCTGGTAAGTACCTAGGCCCTCCGACTTCTGCTAAGATTAAGGCTTATATCATAGTTTAATATTTATCAACCACATAAAGAAAAAGCAGCCAGTTCGGCTTTCCCTCATAACCTAGGTGTGTCTCTTCGTTCAATACTATATAAGTTTCAGGGGTGGAGTTCACCCCCTGTGGATGGAGCGGCGGTGGCGTCCGCGCGCCGTTTTTTCCGCCTCTGGGGGCGAAAGCCTGAGGCTCCTGGTGGCTCTACCCCAAAGGCGTCCCGACTCTTGGACCCTATCAGGGAGACGGCCGCCGGGGGAAGAAGGCGGCCGCGGTCGCGCGGCCTGGCCCCTTTGGCCCTCATCCCCCCAATTGGTGAGGCGTGCCCGCCTGGGTCTTGTCGGATACATGCAGCACGGAGGAAGGGGCCAAGCCTTGCCGCCTGCTGCCCTCGGAGGCCTTCCACCTCCAAAGAAACTCCCCCAGTGAGGAACCCGCACCCTGGAGGCCTGCGACAATCCAAAGGGGGCCCAGCCTTGCCATCTTCGGGAGCCGTCCGCCCCCGGCCTTCGGTGCTTCAGCGGCCTCAGGGATGGGGGCCTTGTAGGGTCCAGGCAAGAAGCGGGACGAAGGGGTCGGAGGTGGGCGCTTGGAGGCCTTCCCGCCTGGCAGTCCCTCGGGAAAAAGGGCCCAGGGCGGGAGGCCCCAAATTTAGATCGCGGAGGGGCCTTGGCCGCTTCCCCTGGAGCGTCATATATGTTTATCAATATCTCACTCGCATTCCCACGACGTGGAAGTGCTGGAGTAGTTGCCTCACTTTCCAAATCATCCCACGTGGAAGAGAGTGGAGTCTGCTGATTGATCCCCTGTTGGAATGGCAGGAGAGATAGTGAACAGCTACAACGAACTTGTCCCTTAGCGTTAATAAAAGCACATGCGCATTTTGGGAAATGAGGCGGCGGCTGCAGACAGTAGACCTGGATAAGAAAGTGAGCGGGAGCAACCATCTTTTTGGCTTGATGATGTTAAGGCTTGTTCTTGTGGTCCTGAACATACTCACACAGACATAGATATTAGTATTGCAGCTGGCTTAGTGGTTTAGGCGTTGGCTTGTACACTTATCAGCACCACAAGACCCATCATGAAGCACTAAAATCCTACACGCTAAGTACTGATCCACTGCTTAATAATCGTTTGTCCCGAGTAGTCAGCTATGATAAGCAAAAGATGCTGTCTGAGTCTGTTTCGGCTGTCCTCGTCTTCTCTGTTTCCTCTGGTGTCCTCGTCTTCTTTCAACAAGGTGCGGACTCTTCTGTCGTGAGAGATCCAAAATTTATTTCGATAGCTCTATGCATTTTCTAATCCCCTGCTCTTTTGTAGTTTTTTCTAGGCTTGCTTTTTTTGTAGTTTTTCTACCTAAGCTTGTGGCTCCACCGATCCTGATGGATTCTATTCTAATGGTGGACTTGACAAGTGCGCAGAAAATATATGGGGGCCGCCTGGGTCATAGCCCTCGTGAACCAAGGGAAAAAAATGGCTTCCAGATTTATCCTGGTCTTAAGGCTCAAACTTCCTTGCCATTGGTCACTGAAAGTGGTCACTGAGATCGAAGAAGGCTCCTGTGAGAGAACAACAGGGGAAAACAGTATAAGGGAAAACAAGTACGTAGAGAGGTACGTACTAGGGAGGTGTGTCTGTGCCGGGTCTTGTCCCTTCAGAATGATCAGCGACCAATGAGTGTCGACCTTTAATGGTCACGCTATTGCAGTCGAATACATGGGCATCCTGGCCTTTCCCTTGGACCCTTCCCGAGTGGCTAGTGGACGCTTAGTGGACGTTCTTTTTATGTTCACAAGATCAAGAATGATAATGATGAAAAGCAAAAACAATAAAGCTTAATATTACTTAGGCAGATTCCCGAGTAGATTCACATCGTCAGTATTACTGTGCTGTATATTTACTCGTCCTCACAGTCTGCTCTAGTAGTGCTGCTCCAGCAGAATTTACTAAAACTACAATTTGTTTCTTGATGAAATCATCCGCTATAGTCGTTCATCACGTTCATACTTCTTTTCTTCATGTCCTTCTTTCATACATTTGGTTTACGTAGTCGGCATTCGAGATCCGAATTGGGCTAAATTGAAACCCGAGCAGCTGAGGGGACGCAGGAGGCGGTTTGGTGCTGTCGCAGACCTAATTTATGGTCAGCTGCATTTGGTAAATACAGATCATCGACGCCTGCTATTAAATCCTTCACAACCTCCAAATATAAAAAAGAGCTATTGTTGCTGAGGCCACGGTAGAGTGCATGAATGATAATGAATAGGCTTCAGCCATAAGAGATGAAGAGTCTTTTGATTATGGGGGTACATCTAAGAAATTCAACAGTTTTCAGAGAATGCAGACTCCAGCAGTGTAAAGTTCACTCTGGATACCACAGATCGAACGTCGAAGGCGAAAGAATTCTTCGCAGGTAAACAAGCACAAGTTAAGACCATGGCAAAGGTTACTTCCTAGTAGTTACATGTTGTATCATGTAAAGGAAAACGTTACAACTATTAAGTAGCCTTCTCTACTTCGTCATCTGTTCTCTTGCACTACTTATTCAACTAAAATTGAAGTCATCTCTTTTCTCTTGTTCTAAGGAAACCTTTGAATTAAACGAGTTCTGTAGCCACCATCCGCAGGAGAAGACTTTTCCTGACCAACTTAACGACCAGAACCATGCGAAAGCGTACTTGCTGAATCCCGGAGAAACAGATGCTCTGCTTGTGAAGGACTTGTCTGCAGATTGTCTCACACTTAAGGCTACTTGTGCAAGAACTTTGGAGAAGATGCATGCCACTATTGATTTTTGTCCGTTCCACGTGCGCGTGCACTCTGCTGAGATGAAGTGGGTAGTTCCCCTTCTATTCGCCATTCGTTCCACGTGGAGTACGTGTCGTTGAGTAGCTTTCACCCTCGTCCCTTAGATGAAGAAAGCCAGGGATGAAATCTAAGGGGAAAGAAGAGACAAGTCACTCTAAGGGGAAACAAGAAGAGACAATCTTAGGGAAATCGAACGGGAAAGAAGATGAGAGAGACAAGTAGTTAATGCTCAGCCAGCACCACGCATAGAAGTGATACTTCTCACTCTAGTACAACTAGGGCTATCTAACTCACCCCTACGCCCATCACCCTTGCTGTTTGGAAAAGCACATGAAGCAGACAGCGAAACGGAAAAAACAGCAGGAGTGAAAGGCACTAGTTTCCTAGCTTGGGATAATCTTAAGGCTACTTCTGCTTTAGATAATTTTTTGTCAACCACGACGTTCTTCTCTTGCTAGTAGCTGTTCTACATGATATTTGTAAAACTAATAATTCGTCATTCACATCAGTTGTTCTTTATCTTCGATGAGGCATGACTTCTCATATCTGAAGGAAAGTATTAGAAGCATGAAGATGTTGGAGTCTCAGAGTACCACGTAATATGACTAAGTACCTACCGCCTCGTCGCTTCCCCCTGCTGAACAAGAAGCAGATACTCATACTCTACAACTACTTCGAGAATGCAATTCTAATAATCTTGGCCAAGAAGCGATAGAATGGGCACAAGAATCGGGCGAAAGACCTGGAGCATTGGGCATATCCATCTCTTTAAGAGTGAGCAAGACTGAACTAGAGCAGAATCTTCTTATAGAAGAAGATCGCTTCTCCTTCTGGTTCTGAGAAGTTGATGTACTACAACTTTTTATTCATGATTAACTAAGTTCTTCTTGCTGTTGATTCTTGTTGTTCATGTTCTACTTGAAAACAGGGGATGTCGATGTAGTTGAAGAAGAATAAATATTGATGCTGTAGCCTTTTCGCTTGTTCTACCATCTAGTACTTCTTCTAATCACATCAAACGTGCTTCCGGAACAAAATCCGAACAATCCTGTCTACCCATTGGGCTTTCAGGGGAGCCGTATCCTGTGGCAGCAGGACCAACAATTTCCTACTCAGTAAGGTGGGTCCTGAGATGGGTCGTGTAGTGGCAGCAGGAGCAGGACGAAGAATTTCTCTTCGACAGATATGTGGGTGGTACAACTGAAGACCAAACTCCACTGGACATGATGGATGACAATGACATACAGGAGTTTGTAGTGAACAAGATACTAGAAGTAAGCTAGTATTTTTATTGCCTATTTAAAGACGACAAGGCGAAAGCGTATAATAGATGACAAGATCTTAGAGATCACAACAAGATGAACACCTTAGTTAGCGATACACTTCTTTTCAAAAAAGAATGCAAGAACAGAAGTTGTAGTTGTTGCGAGGTGGATGGAAGTATCTATTATAGACATTTCAACTTCAAGAACAACTACATCAAAAGCACAAATCGTCTTGAATAGTAGAACAAGTTGTTGAAAATGTGGTCGTTGTTGTTCTTGTGGTATTATAGATATGTGCTCCTCAAAGTGTGGTATTATATATAATTAAATACATGAGTTTAATGTTGTTCTGGATGATCCAGAACATGGATGATGTGGATCGATTTCGATAATAAATAGGTGAGCGAGATGATGGATCGATCGATGATGATAATCTCCACCTAGACATGCGGAATTCACTGGCGATCGTGGTGTTCAGCACAATATCAAATTTTGGATCTGACTGGATTTGATGGCGATTACGATCAACTGTCAAAAAGCTTTTAGATATGTACCAGGGAGGGAGGCCTACCCCTGTGGATGGATCTGGGGTGGACCACGGGGCCAGAGGGGTCCAGCCTTGCCACCTTTGCCAGGTCTGTAGGGTTGGACACATGCAACACGCCAGAGGGGTCCAGCCTTGCCACCTTTGCCAGGTGGTCTGCCGGGTACATGCAGCACGCCAAGGGGGTGGGCCCCGCCTTGCCTCCTCTGCCAGCTCTGTCGGGTACCTGCAACACGACAAGGGGGCCCAGCCTTTGCCACCTTTGCCAGGTCTGTAGGGTACATGCAACAAGCCAGCAGGGCCCTGCTTTGTCTTGTTGGCGCTCTCAGGTATAGGCAAGAAGCGGGAAGGGGTCAGAGGTGGGCGCTTTGAGGCCTTCCCGCCTGGCAGCCCCTCGAAAAGAGGGCCCGGGGCTGGGAGCCCCCCCTCAAAGAGTTAGATCTGGGGGGGCCTTCAGCCCTGAGCCCTGGAACATATAGATAAAGACTCTGGATCCAGCAGTTGTGCCTCGTCCTCTTTGTAGCTGCAAAAGCTCATACAAAAAATGTCGTATTTTACTTCTACAGCCACAAATAGGACTGAAGATTCTACTTCTGGTGAGGGGTCTTCGGTCCGCTACCAACGCAATCCTTCCAGGGCTGGCTTAGGCGCAGCTAGTGCTATCTCCTCTGTGGCCTTGGACAGTTTTGAAGATGCAGATGACCTCGACCTCAAGAGAAAAAGAAGATCAGGAGGAGGACGAAGTTCTTCTGAAAATGGTGAGTCAGAAGATGGCGACTCGTCTTCAAGCGATGAAGATGAAGTTGAAGAGAATGAGAAGACCAATGTTGAGCATGTATATGCAGGAAGCATACTAGACTTCTTGCAGAAGTAGACATTGCGGAGAAGGTCTATTCCTCGACAAAAAACCATTATTGTTTTTCAATGCTTACGGTGAAAAGTTGTACTATTCTTTGGTACAGCCTGATGAGCCACTCATTGTAATGAAACAAGACGAGGAATGTCTCTTTACGACTTGCGCGTCACCTTGGGAGAAGCTCTTTTTGCAGCTGCACAAGTATGCTGTTCTCGAAGACAGGAAGGAAGGCTCTGCCATGGAAATTTTGCGCGTGAGTGAGTGAGTGAAATGAAATGAGAAAAAGACCAAAAATATGCGCTGCTCTTGGACATTCGAACTGCTACTACTTTTTACACCTCCTTATCTTCAGCTCCTTAGGCACGACCACAAAAACATTATAACAAAATGCATGTTCTTCAACTAGGAAAATGAAGCCGTGGCTGTCCATCTCACGACGTGGCTACTAAAACTAATACTAACTTCTTCTATTAAGAGGACTGAGATGTGAGTCAGTCGCCCACCATGATGTCCTCTTCCTCATCGCGTGAAAGGAAGCACGGACGGGGAGGCAACTACGCTCAGGTGGCCGCAAGAGCAGGGGATGAAGACGTTGATGTTGGAGGTGGTGAAGAAATTTTATGGCTTAAGTAAACTAACTGAACTAAACCAACAACAGCACTAAACTGATTGAGCTAAACGCTGAGTAAAGTCCAAGTAGCTAACTACAGCGACGTAGTTCGTTCCAGTTGAATTAAATAAAAGTAGAAGCTAAGAACAGCGTAAGTTGTACATAGAGACTTTTTTTTTACTCTAGTACACCTCGTACTTCTCCTGTTTCTTCACGCTAAGGTCTTCCCAAGAACACGAGGATGGTGAAGCAACAAGAGCTTTACTGACAGGGCGGACGCGGCGAGGTCGACTCAGTAAACGAATCGTAAGCAAACATGTTGGACTCGACGAAGATGACGAACCACTCCTGGAGTCTTCGACTGAACAACAAGACGACGTAAGTCTTCCAATACAGACATCGAAAACCACGAGTACATCCTGTACTACAGGAGCAAGTAGGACAAGCACTGCGAACAAGAATAAGAAAGCGCATCCACATAGAGCAGAGGCGTTTGAAGTGGAAGACGAAGACAACCGTGCTGGATCTTCCGCGGCGAAGCATAAGCAAAGGGAGGGAGCACGAGCACGAGGAGCAGGACGCTTCTGGACTTGGTTCATCTGTGTGCTCAGTTTGTTCCTTATCGTCCTCTTCATTGTCGCCTTGGATTCGCTATTCTTAGGTGGATTGGTTCGAGAGAGTCTCCAAAGGGCATTCGAGCAGAGGAGCTTCCCAAGTTCCATAGAACCTCATCAACTACGTGGTCACGATGGAGATAAAAGAGGTGGGAGGGGTATCAGTAGGGACGGTGAAGACGAGAGGACATTTTCCTCGTCAAGAACAAGTAAGAGGAAATTAGATGATCAACAAGAGGCAAAAATATTAGATGACGTGGATCGAGATCATCAACACGATAGGTTCCGAGGAGAAGTACAACCAGGTACAAGTAGCAGCGATGATCATGGTCAATCTGGCAATGTTGATCAATCTGGTCACTTCTCTCAGACAGTAGACAGACTAGGCGAAAGGCCATGGCAGGCGAATGAAACGGTGGCACAACTAGATCATGCTCCAGTACTTCTCGCTGAAGATGAACAAGTTCCCCCTTTAGGTTCGACTCTTGCTGGTAGTTCCTCGTTTACGGAAAGTAGACGTAGACCGGGAACAGAAGTTCGAAGAACAGAATGCGCCCTCCATGTCACCTTAAGCAGAGTGGACGAGTTTTTTTCTCAATTTGTTAATAATAGAAGAACAAGAAGCAAGGCATTTTTGAACACTCACCTTTACTCCGCTATTGTTTGGCTTTTGGTTTTTACCGTAGAAAAGGTATGCGTGACGTAGTAACTAGTGCAGCTACCTTAAGCTTGCAGCAGTTCGCTGCACTTTTTGCTAATGCTAAGTTGTAGTTTCTTGGCTAATGGCTATTAGAAGATCAATCACTACGCCAGCATCCTCGTGATCTCGCACGTCTACCGCGTTCTTTGCTCTTGTAGTAGAGACGAAAAGAAGCCAGAAATCGTGAGCAGCAGCAGGACAACTACAATTATAAATATAGGTTCCAGGGCGCGGGGCGACGGTACCCGCCCCTAGCGGGGGGGCACCGTGCGCCCTGGACCCCTTTTTGTGGCGTCTGCCGGGGGTGCGGGTAGAAGGCCTCAAAAGGGGGCAAAGTGACCTCCCTCCGCCGCTCTCTTCCAGCTGCCTGGCTGTTGCCTACAGGCCTGAAGAGGGGCCCAGGGGACCGCCTCCGCCTCCTTCCAGGTGCTCGGCTGTCCCCTAGAGGCCTCCGACGCAGGTGGAAGGCCTCAAGAGGGGCCAAAGGGGCCGCATCTGCTTCCTTTCCAGGTGCTTGGCTGTCCCCTAGAGGCCTCTGACGTGGGTGGAAGGCCTCAAGAGGGGCGCAAGGGGCCGCCTCCGCTTCCTCCCAGGTGCTTGGCTGTGCCCAAGGCGGCAAAAGGCGAGGGGCTGGACCCTCTGAGCCGTGCAGCCTGTACCCTCCGGGCCTTTGGTCATCGGCTTGCTTGCTCTTGCGACCGTGGCCGCCTTCGGCGGCCTTTTACCCCGGAGACCTCTTGCTGGCGAGGGTGAGCAGAGGCCAGGAGGCCCCTGGGGAACACGCTGGGAGGCCCAAGGGGAGGCCCGCGCCAAGTTTTGACGCCGTCCACCACTAGAATCCGCGAAAGATCAGCGCGGAAATGCGCGCGCGCGCCACCACAGACCAGACCACAGGGGGGGGCGCCGTCTGGCCCCGAGCCATATAATAACACGCATAGGCTCGGCATCTTTAGTGACGACGGCGGCTCGGTTATTATCAAGAACAGCATACAAATACAACCAAGATGAGGATTATAGGCTCTTCAACAACATTTTGATGTTCTCGAAAATTTTTTTTGTTTTTACATCGGTATCTTATTCCGTAGCTGTTGTAACCCAGCTACAACATCATGGACGAGGGAGTTATCCGTTATAGTCATCTCTTTCATAGATGATCAGTAACAGTAACTCAACATCGGTTCTTTTGCCTATCAATATCTCTAATGAAGAACTTTGCTCAGGGAGATGGCAAACTGTTCTATAAGCCCGATTCGCGGTTTGCAGGCCCAGAAAGGCTGGGGGTAACGGTGACAATTCCGGACGCACACGCCGGATCGGATGACGGGGCGCTCGAGTACCATTCGTGTCTACGCGGAGCCTTCGGTACTACGACGCCAGAGCGTCCTGGGTGGACTTGGACAACGGAATTGGTTCTCGCATTATGAAATTAGAACGCAGATCCTTCTCATACATAGGAGAATAAGAGCAGTAACTTCTCAAGTGTAGGAGATGAGAATAAGACTAATGATCATATAACTGATACTAGCCTAGAGAGACTTGTAGCACTTCGCCGCACTAGAATCCACGCCCACCAGAAAAAGACACGACACGACGCCGCGCGCGCACCCACCGACACAAGCCCGCACGCTGCAACGCCGCGAAAAACAAAAACGCACGCCCAAGCATGCCGGCAAGCGCCTTCAGCGTGTGCGCAATATTGGGGCGGGGGGGGGAGTGGGCTGCAGGTGGCCTTTTGGGTAAATGGTGCCGCCTTGTTGGGGTCCTCGTTGCCGCCTTCGGGATCTAAACCGCCCCCCGCCGGGGTCTATCTAAGTAAACCGCCGGGGTCTAAGCCGTCGGGGTCTAAGCCTTCGGGATCTAAGCAATCGGGGCCCATCAAATAACCACCGGGGTCCAGGCCGTCGGGGTCTAAACGTTCGGGGCCTAAGCCGTCGGGGCCTACACCGTCTGTCGGGATCTAAACTTTCGGGGCCTAAGTGAACCGTCGGGGCCTAAACCGTCGGGGCTTAAGCCGTCGGGGTCTAAGCCGTCCGCTGGGGTCGAAGCCGTCGGGATCTAAACCCGCCGTCGGGGTCTAGGCCATCGGGATCTGTCGTGCGTGTGCGCCGGCGTGTAGTTTTTTTTTTTGTGTTTTGAATTTTGGTCGTTTAATATTGTTCATTTTTTTGTTTTTGTATTAGCGTTTAGCGTTCATCCACTTAATTTTTTCATAAATGCGGGGCATCTACGACAGTGTAGTACTTGTTCCGAAGAAGGATAAGAAACCACGCACTGACGGTGAGCGATTGGCAGCTGCGCAAGTGGAGCAACTTTTGCTGAATAAAGTGGAGCGATGCTGTGGAAAACACTTGAATAATCAATATCGCTTAAGGCAGGGGCAGCTAGTTGTCGAGAAAGTACTTCTTCTTGTACTAGTTGTAGAAAGCGTACTACTTGTTCTTGTTCTTGTACTAGAAGTTGTAGATAAAAAAAAGTACTTCTTGTACTGGTTGTAGAAAAAATACTTGATGTAAAAGTTCTTCGGTAGATTGTTCCTTCTGATTATACGCGCTTCTTCTTCCAATGAAGTAGTAGGTTCTTGACTGTCAACCTACTTCATCTTCTCTTGGTGATCATATGCAGCTACATTTTCGTTCTTCTTCCACTTCAGCTTCGCAATTGTTCTGTTAGGCGACGCCTTTTTTCTACAGATCCACCAAAACATCCTGAATCTCGCTCAATCTTTACGTCAAATCTAAGGACGAAGAGAACTACAAAGGGCCATTACGATTCTGCTTACGCGGAGTCGCGGCAAAACCCAGACCTTCCGGTGTATGAATCGGTTGAAAAGCAGTGGAGGCGCATGGTCTTCTGGGGAGTGCATTAAGAGAAAATTGATAATCTATTAATCTACTTCTCAAAGTCGTGAACAGCGATTCAGCTGCATCTAACCTAACCTCAAAGCTGTTCTTGATGAAGCAACTAGAGGCAATAGACTTAGACAGCTCTAGGTAGTAGTAGTAGTAGTAGACACCACAACTAAGCCCCTCTGGTACTACTGGTGTCTACTAACTTAAATTACTATGCGAAGTCTATTGCCTCTAGTTATTAAACGGAAGAAGGTGTGGAGCGTCGAGAATGATGGTCTTTGTCACCTCTAACTTTTGATAATATTGAAAAAAAACAAAATGGATGTGCTGTCGAAAAGATGCTATCCCCTTGCGACGGACTCGGGGTGGGCTGTGATGGATGAGGGGCTTCAGCCGCAGCAGGGCTACGAGTGGTCCACAACCCGATTGGTCTTCCGCCTGTATAGTGAGTATCCAGATTATGTTGACGGGATGAATAAAGATTTTGGTATAGTTGAGATCATGTACTCGACTATTAGATGTTGTAGATGTACTCGACTCATTTTTATACTCGCAAGAACATAAAGATAAACTTAATCTGGTATAGTAATTCTTAACGGTGGGAAGACTCAACATAATATGTTGACATCCTGTATAGTGAGTCTCCAGATTATAATCGGGACTGTTTTTGCAGTTCTTGCACTGATGTTTTGCTCCTGCTCAAGAAAAAGAAGAGTAAGAGGCACTTCATCTCAAACAATAAAGATGCAACTTCGCCCTAAAAATGGGAGGACGAGGAATGTACCACCTAGTTGTAGTTGTACCACCTAGTAGTAGCTCTTGTTCTTGAGGGGCTCAGAGTATGAGTACGTTTATTTTCTTTGTGTTCATATGAAGCGCATTTTAGGTGGCACCGCGGTAAGCGCTTTGAGCACAGTTCCCAATGGGGAGGCCCAGCCGCGTAGTCTTCCCGCTTCAGTTGGAGGAAAGATTAAGGCACCATCCACGGCTATTCCTTCCAGGGACCAGATCATGATCAAGAACATTTCGATTTTCTAGTAAGAGGAAATAGGTACTACAGGAGTACGAGGAGTACTTTGATGTTTTCAATAATTTATATCAACATATCGTATTGAAAAAAGGTAAGAACGGTCGTCGTCAGGAGATCATGTTAAAAAAACGCCAAGTAGGTCGTGTTCGTGTAAGAGGATTCAGATGCAGTTGCCAGGAGCGCAGATGCAGTATGAGCGCGGTGCTTCTAGCTCTAAAAATGGTGGCCGAGGACAGCCCGGCAGCGATGCTTCTAGTTCTACCTTTGTACCACCTGTGTGCGAGGGACTGGGGAGCAGTATGCTTCCAAAGCAGAAACAGCTAGGGACGCTTCACCCGGATACCATCGTGCAAATTGAGCTTGGTATGTACGGCGCCACTGATTGAGAACAAGGGTTATACAGGGGTACGACACTACGTCGGGCTGTATAGGGGTGTCCTTGATGTAGCAGACATCGTACGCTTCGGGAGTACTATAACGGGGTAATATGAGTACTGTCGTCCAGAGGTGTTTTTCATGTTCTTTTTTATAGCTCTTCGTGTATCCAGGGGGCAAAAAGAAAAACAAGTACTTACTTCCAGGTACGGGGCAACGCAAACGTATCATAGTTCCTTGGAACCCGAACCGACGACATAATTGATAATTCACTACTTGTTGGTATTCTTGGTAAAAAGTATGCACCACGAGCGATCTCATTCTCAATCTATCAGTCGTGACATCACCATTCATCCCAAGTGTTTCGCATATGCAGTGATGTTCAACCTGGCAAGGGTCGGGTGGCTTCAGCCGCTTTGTCGGCTGTCGCCGTCAGGAGTCTATGAAACGATACTTTTCGGAGCCATGGGAAATTATGGCATCAGTCTAATCCACTTGTTAGAGAGTCGTTTATCAACCGGAACCGGTTACGTTGATGAACTGTAAATACGAACATTGTGATCTGCCGTGCGGCAGTCTGCACTGAATTCTGTGCGATCCTCATATTATACAACCTTAGGTTAGGAGGTTGAGAAGTCTCTTCATCCAATGTATTGATATTCTTCTGTGGTCCTGATGGTAAGTGTAATACGGCTCCTTAGGTAGTTTAGCTAGAACTATAACACGGAGTGAACGCATGACGTGGCCAGTGTTTGATATTGGGCGAGTAAAAAAACTGCTCTTATAATTACTCGGAGTTCATCATTTTTGATCACTCAAGTCAATCATGCGTAAAAATATGTCCACCTGATGAAAATGAATACAGGATCACTATGATCCAAAAATAAGTGGATAAGAACTTAACCAACGGACAGCTCCTGCACTCATCATCAGGCTCAAATCGAAGTCACTATTGATCATGTCTAACGAAAAAGACATTCTGTTTTGGTGGATGACCGCTTGATTCTCTCTCCTGTGGGCAATATGGATATCATGTGGAGATATAAGCTTAAGTTAAGGCTACCGCTGCCGCATTCTTAACTTCATCCTTGGCTTCTTTTTCAAGGGCGAAGAGGGCTCACGAATGAGCTCAAGGATGCGACGCGGTAGCTCTAATTACGGGCTTGTATGGACAGTATTTGCTCTCACCAGTGCAGGACACCTCACCAACATTATGGCCTTCATCTTCACCGAAGTGAGATTATATCCCTTCTGCTTCTTCTAGTTCTAAGTGGTTATACTGCAATTACCGTAGCAAGCCTAGCAAAAAGGAGAGAGATTAATAAGATTTATGTAGTAAATATATGTACCAGGGAGGGAGCCCCCCCTGTGGTATGGTCTGTGGTGCAGCACAGTGGTGGAAGAGCGACGAGAGCAGAACGAGCGAGGAGAGAAGAACACGGGACGAGAGCAGAACGAGGAACGAGAGAAGGACGAGGAACGGGGGCAGAACGAGGGACGAGAGCAGAACGAGCGACGAGAAGCGCCCACCCGTGGCGTGCTTGCCTCTGGCGTATTACAGTGGGGGAGGAGAGCGTCAAGAAGAGCCGAAAGGAGGGAGGCGCCCCAAGGTCTGGCGGGTACATGCAACACGCCAAGGGGGTCCAGCCTTGCCACCTTCGCCAGGTCTGTGGGGTACATGCAACACGCCAAGCAAGGCGGTCCACTCCAGCCTTGCGGCCTTCGGCACGTCTGTAGTGTACACGCAACACGCCAAAGGGGTCCAGCCTTGAGGGTACAGGCAACACGCCAAGGGGTCCAGCCTTGCCACTTTTGCCACATTCGGAAGCCTTCCGCGTCCGCCCTTCATTGCTTCAACTGCCTGCGGCATGGTGGCGCTGCAGGGTCCAGGCAAGAAGCGTGAAGGCGAAGGGGCCAGGGGTGGGAGCTTCGAGGCTTTCCCACCCGGCAGCCCTTCGAAAAAAGGGCCGGACCGCGAGCCCCCCCCTCAAAAAGTTAGATCGGGGGGGCCTTCAGCCTTGAGCCTTGGAACCTTCTGGAGCCCTTGAGCATACGTGTGCCTTTTTCCTACACCTTCACCTTATGTAGTTGCAAATCTAAGCGGTTCAAGTAAAACGGTCGCGGAGTCCTCTAGTGCTTCGTAACTAGTCGCGACCTGAGTGTTTAGTTGCTAAGAGGAAAGGCGAAGACGACAGAGAAAGGAGGGCAACACTGCTAGGGACTGGAAGAAGAACAGAGAAGGGCAGGCGGTGGAGGCCAAAGTGCTACAGCCGCCGCAAAGTGGCCGCCGCGGGACGCTTCTCGCGAGCTGGGCGCGGCAGCGAATTGCTGCGCCGTTCAGTTTTTCTTGCATTTTGGAAGCCATTACAAGGACAAAACACGCACGCGGCGCGCGTTTTATCCCGTCAACGTCTCGGAAGGCCCAAAGGGGGCAAACACGCCAGCCTGCCTGCGGACAAGGACGCCGGCAGCACTCCTCCTTTGGGGGGTTTCAAATTCTCCGGCTTGGGAACCTGCTCAGGGAAGTCACGCCGGCCGCCTTGCATGGCTTGTGGCCTTGTGGCGTGTTTCTTCTCGCCCTCCCTCGGCGCGTTCGTTCTGGCTTTTCGTGTTCCAGGCCTTGAGATGGGCAAACCTACCTTGAGGGGGGCAAACCTTGAGAGGGGCAAACCCTGAGAGGGGCAAACCTCGAGAGGGGCAAACCCTGCGGACGCCGGGGGGGTCTACCCTGACACGCTAAAATAAATAAGCCCGCGAATATGAATCTCAAAACCTTGAGTGTTGTGAAACCTTGAGGCGAAAAATGAGGAGGCAAACCCTGAGGCTGAAGCCTTGGGGCTTTTTCGCTGTCTGGTCTACCCTGAGATCCAATACCTTTACCTTGGGAGCGGTCCAAAGCCTTGGCTTTTTTTCCGCGAGCGTGGACCGCCTCCAACTTAGCGGCTTCCCCACAAGCACTGCAGAGCAAACTAACTCGGGCTTTCGTTTCCTCTAAACCCTGGGATTCTATTTGGCGCCCCTTAAAGCCCTGGCTTTCGTCCTCGATTTTTGTCGGTTCGTATATAAGAGGAGTACTGTATTAAAATCTTATCCGTATTCTAAGTAACGGCAGCTTGTGGGTGGACAGCATGTTGATGACGAACATGAATAGTGGCTTAGTGCTACCTTCGTATGTAATCTTCGTAATTGACCATTAGTCTTGGAAGGAAAGGAAAAACAAAATTTCCTGATAAAGTAACAACATTCTAACACAAGTGGAGCTGCAGCTGAAAGGGTACACGAAGATGATTGGTTCATACGTCTCTACCAATAAAGGAGGAGACCCAAGGGTTGCGGGACTCACACTCGCTGGACCAGTCTTAAGGCGCTCTAACAGTCGCTGACGATGAAAAAAAGTAGATAATGAAAATTATCCATCTACTTCTATGTTGTCATCATGATGTTGGAGTATCTCTATGTACGGTGTCGCTCCTGCTGTCACTCCGAGTGGGAGATCCTCTTCTTGAGTGGAGGTTCTCGCCCTGTTATTTGGTAACCTAAATTCGATCACAGGAGATGGCGCTTTCTTCTTGATTTCTCGTTTTTTCGCATCAAAGAACTGAGACAACTACCGAAGTTACTTCCTATAAGATTTATAAGATAATAACTTACACTTACTAACTGACTACTTAACTAACTGACTGACTACCGAAATTTTTACAAACCAGCAGAAAAATTTTCTTCTGAATCATAGTACACCACTTCTAACATTGAGTCCCTCGCGGCCGGACACTCCCGTGGTCGACACTGATTGGGAGCTAATGTTTGATCCTAGAACCAAGCACGCACAATATGTGACTTACCGCAAAACCAAATCTGATAGTCGACAGTTGGACGTCGGGAAATTTAAGGGTTACCAAGAAATTGCATCCCGCACTCGAATCCTGGTCTCTTTTTCTACTTGAAAAAGGCGCCAAGGATGTTCTCAGGAATACAATTCTGCAACCTCTAACGAATTGATGGACAAATTCGATGTGCAGCAAAGTGAGATGATGGATTTGCGAGGGTATATGAAGTTAAGGAGCTCTGTTCTTACTAGCTTTCATAATATCCATCTGATTTGTTTCTACTCAGCAGGAGGAGGGGCATCTTCTCGATGATGATACACATCGTACACATTTTGAAGTTTCCCTTGTTTTTTTTTCAGCATCTTAATGATATTAGTTATGGACCTTATATATATAATTGTTTCCTTTGTTGTATGATCCATGATAGTTAATTTTTTCATGGGAAAGTAGGTGCTGGCGGACGAGTCGAGATGAGACTGAGAGAGGGGCCCACCCCCACCTCATCAGATGTTCTTTAGATATGAAATTATAAATAAAATACGCTGAGTCATCTTCTTTATCTAACGAAAGAACAGCAAAACCCGAATCCATCGCAGTGTGAGATCTTCGCGGGATGGGTAGGGAGAGTCGTGCATCTTGTGGTCTCACGTTTCCGTCAGCAGTATCGCAAGATGCTGCGAGAAGGTAGCTCGAAGACTGCCGGCATTGCGCATGCTGTTAAGGGGCGACTCCGCATTAGAACATTTGTACTTCTACCTCTCTTGGCGAGGAACCTGGAGAGGACCGGAATCGAGTCGAAGCACCCTGGCGCTTGTCCTAGCCAGGGAATGTCTGTTCAGGAGTTATTTGCCTCTCTGCCATCCACCCTGGCTCTACTTTTCCTAGTAGACAAGAAGCCAGTGCCAGCAGGGATGTCCAACATGTTCTGAGGAGTGTAAACATTGATTCCGTAACCTGCTCTAACGTCGTGTGCTCACGCTCAAAGCTGAGGGCAGTCAAGTCACAAATGACAGTGAAGCAAGCTGCCGAGTATCTGCTCGCGCAAGGAAAACGTGAGAAGTGGGATGAACAAGAATTCGAACGTATGGGAATGGGAGGACGGGTTCTGAAACAACGCTACCAGGGCTGCGAAGACTGGTTTGTATGAGGCCACTCATTGAGAATCCAAGTTACAGTGGAATGTCAAGTCAGGCTTGGCAGATGAACATTACTAGTACTTGCACTAGTCGCAGCAGCATGACCATGAGCATCATCTTGTTTTCCTTTTCCAGGCGACGAAGATGACGTCGAAGGTAAAGCAAGGGGGTACGACCACATTCCCCTATCGGCGTTCTCAATGAGTGGAAGCATTCTTCATCGTTCTGGTTGCGGTTTTTGAGGGAGCAAAAATTTTTGGTCATTTTATGACACCACGAAAAACTGGACCTGGAGACTTTATACTCAACATGGTCAACCTTGATGTCCTCAAGAAACTAGGCTACTTGGAGGTCTAATTAGGAAAAAAAGTGCCTCGTTTCTACTGGAGTATGGGAGTTGAGTACACTTTTTCCTTCCACATATATCGGATGAAAGTCACCAAGTCTTCAGCAGCAACTCATTCATGCAGCGTCGCGCCATGATGTTGATGAATCAGACAGCGACAGCGAGCAGTACGAAAACGAATAGTTTCTTTGAATTAAGGCGTCCCCTAATCCGTCTCCAGAAGTAGCATCTATCTTAAGACTGCCTCATAATGGGAGAACAGCTTCAAGATGCGGAGGGTTTCAAGATGGATGAGGGTATAAGCTCTAACTGAAGGGAGTCCAGCCTCCTGGTCATTCTTTGAACTTTCAGAACATCTCAATGCGGGTGAAAACTGTTTATGGAGGCTCAGAACGGATGCATGATAGTCGCACTTCATCTTAGAGAGAAGCACGACAGAATCAGAACACTAACGATACTTGTTCTCACATCGCGTATATATTTTTCCTAGGAGGTATTATTATGATTATTATACATAGGTGGTAGGCCTACCTGATTCATCATATCTTCTGTGCGGCGGGCGTTCTGTGCCCGTGCTTTGTCTTTAGGATTCAGTCGCTTTTTTCTCTTATTTCTATTTTTTCCCTGTGGTTGTGCTGTTATCAAGGAGGGGCCGCCCAAGGGGCGACCCATGTTTCTTGTAATCATAGTGTCGATGTCCTCTATGCTCTAACCTCTATGGGCGTCACGTGTAGTTTGTATGGAGAAGACGATGTTGCTGGTCCTCACGGCGACGAAAAAATGGGTGATCATCACGAAGATGATGGTGACAACGAGGCGGATGAAGAGGATGAGCAGCGGCAAGACGAGATTGGCCAGCAGGGACTTGCAGAGGGGGACCAGACTACGGAGCATGCCAAACCTGAGCAGGGCGCGCAAGAGTATACTAAATCCAGGACTGCAAGGACGGCGCAGCCATTCGTTTATGCTGGTTGGAGCGAAATTACTTGACCAAAAGGGACCAGCGTCGGCCATTCGGTCTTCTCTTCACTTGGGGGCTGCGCATCCTACACGCAGCGCTGTCAGTTCGCGACAGCGTTTCGCCTCACACCACACTCACGCTTTACTTCGCTTCCTTTTCGCTTGACTTCCCTCGCACTTCACTTCTCTTTCACTTCACTTCCCTTTCGCTTCACTTCCATTTCACTTTGCTGCCCTATCGCTTCTCTTCCCTTTCACTTCACTCCACTTCCCTTCCAAATTCACTTCAATTCCCTTTCACTTCACTTCAGTTCCCTTTCACTTCACCTCACTTCGCTTCCCTTTCGCTTCACTTGCGTTGCCTTTCACCTCGCTTCCCTTTCGCCTCACTTCCCTTTCACTTCGATCCCCTCTTCCCTTTCGCTCCCTTTTCCCTTCCCTTCCTTTCCCTCTCACTTCCCTTGCGCTTCCCTTTCGCTTCCCTTGCGCTTCACTTTCGCCTCCCTTCCTTTCGCTAGCTTCGCTTCCCTCTCCCTTCTCGTTGAATTCGCTTCCCTTCCCTTTCGCTTCCCTTTCGCTTCCCATGCACTTCCCTTCCACTTCCCCTTCGCTTCCTTTTCACTTCCCTCTCGCTTCCCTCTCGCTTCTCTTTCGCTTCCCTCTCGCTTCTCTTTCGCTTCCCTCTCGCTTCTCTTTCGCTACCCTTTCGCTTCCCTTTCCTTCGCTTCCCTTTGCTCTCGCTTCCCTTTCACTTCCCTGCCGCTTCCCTTGCACTTCCCTTCCCCTTTCGCTTCACTTCGCTCCCCTTTCTTTTCCCTTTCGCTTCCCTCTGTTTGTTTCACTTCCCTCTCCTTCCCTTTTGAGTTTCGCTTCCTTTTCCCTTCTCTTCCACTTCCCTTTCGCTTCTCTTTCACTTCTCTGGGTTTCACTTCTCTTCCCTTTCGCTCTCCTGGCCTTTCACTTCATTGCGCTCCCAATTCGCTTGCACTTCGCTTTCACTTTCGCTCTCACTTTCGCTCTCGCTTTCGCTTTCACTTTCGCTCTCACTTTCGCTCTCGCTTTCGCTTCGCTTTCCCTTCGCTTTCACTTCGCTTTCACTTCGCTTTCACTTCGCTCGCGCTTCACTTTCGCTTGCTTCGCTTTCACTTCACTTCGCTGCATCCATTGCATCCAGTTCTCGCTCGGGGCTTGTGTCAAGGGTGTAAGTATGGGGCGATTAGAGACTTCTAGAAGAGGAGAAGCGATGAAGCGCAACAAGATGGAAAGAAGGAGAGCCTTCTTTGGGGTAGCGGAGTAGTGACAGTAGAGGGCAACTCTGATGAGAAGCTCAAGTTGGGGATTAGCTCGGATGATCTACCCGAGGCGCTGCTATCTATCATGTAAGTACTCCTAAGCGCTCATCTACTCCTGTCTACTTTGTATTTTCCTAAGTATTACTAGCACTAGTAGGTGGCCGTGGCCCTCATCCTCTAAGGCAAAAAGGGCGCATTTTTAGAGACTCGTCCAGGACACAAGGAGCCCAAAACGAACAAGGCATCGATGAACGAGGCTCAATGGCGTGAGAAGATCCGAAGCGAGGCCATTGGTTGCAGAACAGAGCATAATATGACGCATTGTTTCTTTTTCATGTTTACAAATATAAATATAATGAGAACCGAGCACTTCTCTGAGGCACGCACTGGCTTCGGCCGCCATAGATGAGAAGACCTCCAGGGCAGAAGGACGAACGCGCGGCGCCTAAAATAGACGGATCCTAATATAAACGTGGCCACTAGAATTTTATTAGATATTTGGAATACCTGACCTTTTGAATTTTTGTTTGCTAGCTAGGAGTGCTCCACCGATATAATGAAGTCTTTTGTTCACAAGAAGAAGGTGCCGCGGGCGGCCATCCACTGCACTGAAAAGTATTAGCGTCATTCTTATTTCTTTCAACTTCTAAAAAAGATGCCGCGCAACAACATTCACTTCTAGCACTGTACTGAGTATAAATGAACTACTCTCTCTTTCAAGAACGACCTCTAAGTCGAAAGAAGGCGAGGCTCATGCCCTGTGTCCATGCTTGATGGAGCCGGCGAACGCGGATTGGATGTCCCTTTGTGTCCTCATCTACGTGGACTCAACAACCGGCAACGTGGGCAAGTTTGATCTAACTTTAAGGTCAGCTGTGTTTATCCATCTTTCTCGGCAGCACCTTGGTACTCTGTAGCCTTGTATTTCATCATCGGAAACAAGGGGTCGAGGTGAAGGGGCAGACGAGATGAATAAAAGCCGACGCAGCTAATAACTTCTGGCGGAGGCGGTCTGGTGTCGATAGCCGAGAAGACCTATGTTAGGGCTATATTCCTGACGTCCTACCTTACAACCTCAATCCTTGACTGATGTTTTTTTACTACGAAGATGATCTACATCTAGAAAATTTCTATTTCATCATTCCCTTTAATAAGAAAGAATGAAAATGATGGATGATTTTATACTGCAGCCTCTTGCTGTTCTACCTAGTATTTTCTACTCAGAACAACTATTAATGCATAGGCAATTATTTACTGCAGCCTCTTGTTGAAGGCTTAGGAAAGGCGCCCTATCCTATCTTTTCCTATCCTCTTGTTGTTCATGTTCTAACTATGAAAAGATAAAGACTTCCGTCGGAGATGAAGCTGCATCTTCGGAAAAGGCGCTGAAGGAGTCACAATTTGTACGCAGATTACTCACGCGCAACAAAGTGAACAACTTGCATCCGGTGTCTGGTAAGTACCTAGGCCCTCCGACTCCTGCTAAGATTAAGGCTTTTGTCATAGTTTGATATTTATCAAGCACATATTATTAGTTGTGTCATAGTTTGAAGTTATTTATCAAGCACATATTAATAAAGAAAAGACAACCAGTTCGTTTTTCCCTCTTCAGAACCTAGGTGTATCCCTTCGTGCAATAATATGTATGTTTCACTGGTGGAGGTGGAGGCCGTGGATGGAGCGGCGGTGGCGTCCGCGCGCCCTTTTTTCCGCGTCCGGAGGCGAAGACCTCAAAAGGCGGGGCCGGAGGCTCCTGGCGGCTCTACCCCAGAGGCGTCCCGACTCTGGGACCCTATCAGGGAGAAGGCGGCGACGGTCACGAGGCCTGGCCCCTTTGGCCCTGATCCCCCCAAGTGGTGGCAACGTACGCCGCCACCAAATGCCCGGGGGGGTGAGGGCCAATGGTGAGGAGGGGTGGGGGCAAGGCGTGCCCGCGTGGGTTTAGTCGGATTATACATGCAGCACGGCGAAAGGGGTCACCTTGCCACCTGCGAAGAAACTCCCCAGTGAGGAACCCGCACCCTGGAGGCCTGTAGGGTACACGCAACAAGCCAAAGGGGGCCCAGCCTTACCACCTTCGGGAGCTGTCCGCCCCCGGCCTTCGGTGCTTCAGCGGCCTCAGGGATGGGGGCCTTGTAGGGTCCAGGCAAGAAGCGGGGCGAAGGGGTCGGAGGTGGGCGCTTGGAGGCCTTCCCGCCTGGCAGTCCCTCGGGAAAAAGGGCCCAGGGCGGGAGGCGCCAAATTTATTTAGATCGGGGAGGGGCCTTGGCCCCTTCCCCTGGAGCGTCATATATGTTTATCAATATCTCACTCGCATTCCCACGTGGAAGTGGAGTAGTTGCCTCACTATCCAAATCATCCCACGTGGAAGAGAGTGGAGTCTGCTGTTGATTCATGGTTGGAGTCTGCTGTTGATTCATGGTTGGAGTCTGCTATTGATTCATGGTTGGAGTCTGCTATTGATTGATTCCTGTTTAGAATGGCAGTAAAGACCTTGTTCCTTAGCGTTAATAAAAGCAAATGCGCATTTTGGGAAATGAGGCGGCGGCTGCAGACAGTAGACCTGGATAAGAAAGTGAGTGGGAGCAACCATCTTTTTGGCTTGATGATGTTAAGGCTTGTTGTCCTGAACATACGATACACATATTAGTATAATTAGTATACATGATAAATCATAGGTTTATTTAAGGGTGAACTACGGCATAGCATTAGTATACATGGACAGAGTGAAACGTGGTTCTTGGTCTTGGAAATAATGATCAGTTTTCATTTCTTCACGACAGTACCGATCTTTCTCGCTCTTATTGATTGACCTGTACACTTATCAGCACAAGACTAAAATCCTACAAGCTACTGATCCACTGCTTAGTATTCGTTTGTCCGGAATAATCAGTTATAATAAGCAAAAGATGGTGTCTGAGTCTGTCTCCTCTGTCCTCGTCTTCTCTGTCTCCTCTGGTGTCCTCGTCTTCTTTCAACAAGGTAGGACTCTTCTGTCGTGAAAGAATCAAAATTTATTTCGATAGCTCTATGTATTTTCTAATCTCCTGCTCTTTTGTATTTTTTTCTAGGCCTGCTTTTTTTGTAGTTTTTTCTACTTAAGCTTGTGGCTGCTCCACCGATGGATTCTATTCTTATCTAATCGTGGATTTGACAAGTGTGCAGAAGTTATTTGGGGGCCGTCTGGGCGATAGCCCTCGTGAACCAAAGGAAAAAAATGGCTTCCAGATTTATCCTGGTCTTAAGGCTCAAACTTCATTGGTCACTGAGAGTGGTCACTGAGAGTGAGATCGAAGGGGGCTCCCGTGAGAGAACTACAGGGGAAAACAATTTAAGGGAAAGCAAGTACGTAGAGAGGTACGTACTTGGCAGGTGTGTCTGTGCCGGGTCTTGTCCCTTCAGAATGATCAGCGACCAATGAGTGTCGACCTTTAATGGTCACGCTATCGCAGTCGAATACATGGGCATACTGGCCTTTCCCTTGGACCCTTCCAGAATGGCTAGTGGACGCTTACTGGACGTTCTTTTTATGTTCACGAGATCAAGAATGATAATGATGAAAAGCAAAAAGAATAAAACTTAATATTACTTAGGCAGATTGCCGAGTAGATTCACATTGTCAGTATTACTGTGCTGTATAATTACTCGTCTGCTCTAGTACTGCTCCAGCAGAAATTACTAAAACTACAATTTGTTTCTTGATGAAATCATCCTCTATAGTCGTTCATCACGTTCATATTTCTTTTCATGTCCTTCTTTCATACATTTGGTTTACGTAGTCGGCCTTCGAGATCCGAATTGGGCTAAATTGAAACCCGAGCAGCTGAGGGGACGCAGGAGGCGGTTTGGTGCTGTCGCAGACCTAATTTATGGTCAGCTGCATTTGGTAGATACAGATCATCGACGCCTGCTATTGAATCCTTCACAACCTCCAAAAATACAAGAGAGCTAAGGCCACGGTAGAGTGCATGAATGAAAATGAATAGGCTTCAGCCATAAGAGATGAGTCTTTTGATTATGGGGGTACATCTAAGAAATTCAACAGTTTTCAGAGAATGCAGATTCCAGCAGTGTAAAGTTCACTCTGGATACCACGGATCGAACGTCGAAGGCGAAAGAATTCTTCGCAGGTGAACAAGCACAAGTTAAGAACATGGCAAAGGTTACTTTCTAGTACTTACATGTTGTATCATGTAAAGGAAAACGTTACAACTAAGTAGCCTTCTCTACTTCCTCGTCATCTGTTCTCTTGCACTACTTATTCAACTAGAATTGAAATCATCCCGTGTTCTAAGGAAAGCTTTGAATTAAACGAGTTCTGTAGCCACCATCCGCAGGAGAAGACTTTTCCTGACCAACTTAACGACCAGAACCATGCGAAAGCGTACTTGCTGAATCCCGGAGAAACGGATGCTCTGCTTGTGAAGGACTTGTCTGCAGATTGTCTCACGCTTAAGGCTACTTGTGCAAGAACTTTGGAGAAGATGCATGCCACTATTGATTTTTGTCCGTTCCACGTGCGCGTGCACTCTGCTGAGATGAAGTGGGTAGTTCCCCTTCTATTCGCCATTCGTTCCACGTGGAGAACGTGTCGTTGAGTAGCTTTCACCCTCGTCCCTTAGATGAAGAAAGCCAGGGATGAAATCTAAGGGGAAAGAAGAGATAAGTCACTCTAAGGGGAAACAAGAAGAGACAATCTTAGGGAAATCGAACGGGAAAGAAGATGAGAGAGACAAGTCAGTGCTCAGCAAGCACCACGCATAGAAGTGATACTTCTCACTCTAGTACAACTAGGGCTATCTAACTCACCCCTACGCCCATCACCCTTGCTGTTTGGAAAAGCGCATGAAGCAGACAACGAAAGGGAAAAAACAGCAGGAGTAAAAGGCACTAGTTTCCTAGCTTGGGATAATCTTAAGGCTACTTCTAATAATTCGTCATTCACAGTTCTTCATCTTCATCGATGAGGCATTACTTCTCATATCTGAAGGAAAGTATTAGAAGTATGAAGATGGAGTCTCAGAGTACCACGTATCACTAAGTACCTACCGCCTCGTCGGTCCCCGGCCCCTGCTGAAGAAGCAGATACTCATACTCTGCATCGACTTCTACTTCGAGAGTGCAATTCTAATATTCTTGGCCAAGAAGCGATAGAATGGGCACAAGAATCGGGCGAAAGACCTGGAGCATTGGGCATATCCATCTCTTTAAGAGTGAGCAAGGCTGAACTAGAGCAGAATCTTCTTAGTAATAGAAGTTGATCACTTTCTCTGGTTCTGAGAAGTTGATGTACTCTTCTACTACAACTTTTTGTTCATGATTAACTAAGTTCTTGCTGTTGATTCTTGTTGTTCATGTTCTACTTGAAAACAGGGGATGTCGATGTAGTAGTGGAAGAAGAATTAATATTGATGCTGAAGCCTTTTCGCTTGTTCTACCATCTAGTACTTCTTCTAATCACATCAAACGTGCTTCCGGAACAAAATCCGAACAATCCTGTCTACCCATTGGGCTTTCAGGGGAGCCGTATCCTGTGGCAGCAGGAACAACAATTTCCTGCTCAGTAAGGTGGCTCCTGAGATGGATCGTGTAGTGGCAGCAGGAGCAACAATTTCCTGCTCAGTAAGGTGGGTCCTGAGATGGATCGTGTAGTGGCAGCAGGAGCAACAATTTCCTGCTCAGTAAGGTGGGTCCTGAGATGGATCGTGTAGTGGCAGCAGGAGCAGGGCGAAGAATTTCTCTTACTTAGACAGATACTATGTGGGTGGTACAACTGAAGAACAAACTCCACTAGCACTAGACATGATAGATGACAATGACATGCAGGAGTTTATAGTGTACAAGATGAAGGAAGAAAGCTAGTTTTACTGCCTACTTAATAAAGACGACAAAGCGAAGATGAATAACAGATCTTAGAGATCACAAGAGGAACACCTTAGTTAGAGATTCACTATGCTAACGTACACCTTCGAGTTCGCAAGTAGCAGTTCGTCAGTTTTTTTCTTCAGTTCTAAAAGTTGTGGTCTTACAAAAAATCTTGTTGCTTGTCAAGAACAATTTGGCAAGAAGTTCCAGAGCTTTCCTATCTGAATTGACAGTCTTCGAGGCTTGAGGATGATAAAGAAGAATTTCTCAGAAATCGTTTGCTTGACTCCCTTTCCAAAACAAGAATGATTTAAAGGAGTCAATGTTGAACGAGAAAGGTGTGCTGCTATCATTTGAATTTCATGCTTCAGCCTTGTCCTTCAAGAATTTCGAATCGAATCGTTCATCCGTTCCTTGTAAGTTCACAAGAAATTTGAAGAATTTGCTTTCTCTCTTCAAGAGACGCTTTGATGGATCCAAAAACAAATCTTCTTCACTCTTGCCACTTTACCCATGGCAGAGAAGTAAGTGGGTGACACTGGGCCCTTCATCCTATCTATTTTTCTTTTTTCTGGTGCTGATGTTCAACGAACTGGTGAAATTATGTAATATGCTGAAGATCATTCGGTTTCTCATCTGTGTATCTGAAGGTTGACCATCAAGGGAGATTTGAGAAATAAGGCTAACATAGGATCTCGAAAAGAAGAAAGAAAAATCAGTACGTCCATTCGGTCTACAGGCTAAAGTATGTGTTTGTTGAACAGCATCGACATCGAGCTTGACAACTGTTGACTTTGCCGAGTACATACTTGCGATCATGAAGCAGATGAAGATGATGCTTCTCGCTTTCTTGAGCATGCTGCTCTTTCATTGCGCTGCAGGAGTGCTGCTTAAGGCCCGATCCTCGTGCTCTCCTGCGAAAGATATTGTTGTAACGTTTTACTATGGTTTGGCTGCAACGAACAAGATCGTCAGCGTCAGAATAGGCGGCAAAAACGAAGGAGAAGGAGAAGGCAAGCAAGACGATGACAACGAAGGAGAAGGCACAGACAAACAAGGCGAGGAAGTCTCTCTGGCGTTCTCAGATACGGCAAGAGATTTGGGCGATGCAGTCCTCCAAAAATTGGTAGCACAACAAAAGAATGGCACACTTTCTCTCAGTGCTGAGATAAAGTTCCTCGAACAACTGCGGTTTCTGATCGGTACTCAGGAGCTGCATCTCTCTGGTCAAAGAGGACGTGGGGGGGAAACGTTGAATCAGCTGGAGGCCCTTTCGGTTCCTTCACATCAAGGCGTGGACGGTGTGGGCCCGGGTAGTGGAAGTGTAAGCGCTAGGGCTCTTTCGTGTCTAGTCGTGGCGCAGCGAACCGTCGAGCAGCTGAAGGAAGAGCAAACGTGGAGGGAAGCTCTGCAGGGACAGGAAAACGGTCATGCAATTAACTACCACGCCGCATCTGAAGAAGCACGAGAGAGGATCGAAACAATCGCTCTGGAATCTGTCCAGCAAGATGGTCTCGCCCTTATGTACGCACCTCCAGAGTTACGAAATAGCACGCAAATCGTCACGCCAGCTGTGGAGCAGAATGGCTGGGCACTTGCGCATGCATCTGAAACATTGAAGGCGGACAAGGAGGTCGTCCTGAGAGCTGTGGAGAAGACTGGCGCGGCACTTGCGCATGCATCTGAAACATTGAAGGCGGACAAGGAGGTCGCCCTGAAAGCTGTGGAGCAGGACGGCGGGGCACTTCGGTTTGCATCTGAAACAGTGAAGGCGGACAGGGATGTCATCCTGAAAGCTTTGGAGCGGAATGGCTGGGCACTTGCGCATGCATCTGAAACATTGAAGGAGGACAAGGAGGTCGTCCTGAGAGCTGTGGAGAAGACTGGCGCGGCACTTGCGCATGCATCTGAAACATTGAAGGCGGACAAGGAGGTCGCCCTGAAAGCTGTGGAGCAGGACGGCGCGGCACTTCGGTTTGCATCTGAAACATTGAAGGCGGACAGGGATGTCGTCCTGAGAGCTTTGGAGCAGAATGGCTGGGCACTTGCGCATGCATCTGAAACATTGAAGGCGGACAAGGAGGTCGCCCTGAAAGCTCGCGCTAGAGTATAGCTTCGCACTTGAGTACGCGTCTGTAAAATTCCGATGCTATTCTAATACAACGCTCAACAGTACAGAACAAAAAGAGCTCCCATTTTCTACCAGAATAAGAAGTCACTCATTATATATGCTTTCCGTTCCTCCTTTTTAACTTTTCACCTCTCTAGAAAAGTTTAAGCTTAATAATAGATTTCCAGGTTGTCGCTATGCAGTCATGAATATACGGCAAAACTGAATGATATACCACGACTCATGCAGGATTTTCTGGATCACAGGAATCAGAATGAGGACAAAGCAGCGGATGTAGAACACCGGAGAAAGAACCATCTGGAAAAGGGAGTTGAAACTATTGAGGGAGAGAAAGTCATAGGTTCTCACACTTCCCGTAAGTACTAGCTGTCTCTTACTCCATAAGTTTGAAAGTGTTAGAATGAGCTGTGTCTTCCTTTTCCTTACTTAATGATCTTCGTGCATTTTGGCTCAAGGCTATTATTGAGTACTCAGGACACCGCTAGCGGGAAGGTCGAGCACCTATATTTTTTCAAAATCGGTCATTTCGTTTTTGATGTATTTGCCTTAAAACGTAGTTAGCACCACTAGAAGTATTAGTTCTGAGAAAAAAAGACTGAGATGACGAAGTAGAATACGTTTACATGTCGGAGTTAAAGGTTAGCTACAGTGTTACTTTGGTAACGGTTTTCTTATGGTAGCAGTAGTAAGTTGCTGCTTGTAACTTGTCTCGAAAAAACATAAAGTGTGACGCTTCGTTGGTTTTCTTACGTTGTTGTTGATAATTGTCGTTGACTCTGTAAATTGATGGAGGTAGAGGTGCTGCTGTTCGCTGTCATTAATGCGAGGAGATAGGAAATTGGTATGAATAAGTAGGCTGAGCCACCTTTCTTCTTTGCCGCGCGACGGAGAAATCGAGGGACAAGTTGGTAGTAGTGAGGTCTGACACCCAGGAGATAGTATAATGGGACAAGAGAGAAGGACAAGATCATAAGTCAGAAAGTTCATATGACTCACGAATATCAGTTGAGAATAAAAACGAAGATGATGATGGGCGAATAATGTCGAATGAATACCGCGGGATCTGTTACGCGTTCCTCTGTAGCGCAGTTTATCGGTCAGGCGGTCGCGTAGGTGGGGTAAAGGGTGTGTTATAGATGCAGAAGCCATTAGTTGAGGATAGATGAAAACTGGTCGTCCTACTTCTGTGGCTGCACATATTCACCCGAGGAGGCAGGTCAAACTGTGGACGGTGAATCAAATCCTATCCTATCCTATTAGTGTTTATCCTTCTTGAGCTTCCGGTTCCGCCCTGCTGGGCGTCTGTTTTAAATGTCAGCTTTCTTTCTCCTCACCGTAGCCAATATGCCTCTGTTATTTAGTGAGTAGGTCCTTCTCCGTCTGCTGTGACTAGCCCGATTAGGTGGTAGGTACTTAAGTATCCTGAGGTGATGCGCGTCTGGTAGTCCGCTAGCAGTAAGCAGTAGGTGGCTGGTGGTTGCTAAGAAAGGTCTCTTTTCTTCTATTCTGTGTGGTGAGTCCTTCATGCTGTCTCCCTCCTGTCTGTTCATTGCGAAATATGAGTTCTCGCCCCTGTGGGTGGCCAGAAATGTGTTCCTGAGCGCATTTGTAGTTGCTCCTTCCATCTGATGGTTGGGAGTGCTTCAAATGACGAGTTGATCAGTGCTCGGCCCTGTCTTTTGTTCACCTCGTAGGGTTTGAGATGGACGCATCTTTTTCTGCATCGGTCTGGCGTTGGTACTGCAACAAAACAACACACTTCACCGGATCTGCCCTGTATGGTTTTTTGCCGCAACTTATCGGCGCTTTTTTCTGTGCCCCCTTAGCAGGTCCCCTCGTTGTACTTTTCAGTGCGGTATTCCGGTTTCCCCGGTTTTGTATTTACCGGTCTTTTGCGTGCAAGAAGACGTCAATCGGGATCGTGCGACGGATGGAGCTTTCTGCAGCACTGGAAGCCTCTGCGGCCGTCTGGGTGGGACGCGGAAAGGATGCGTGACAAGTGACGAAGGGGAGACTTCGCTTGAAGAGATAAGAAAACTAGCGTAGTGTCGATTTACTGACGTGACTAAGCAGCGTGTTTTTATATACCATAGAGAGATCAAGAGCGAACGGTAGAAGAAGGAACGGCCAGCCGGAAAATGGAAATCTAAAACTTATGGAAACTCGCTTCGCGAACGCGATAGGGTCTTACGCCAGAATATTGGCTATCAGCTAGTTCTTTTTCAACGATTGTTGAGCGCGTCGTGTGGGTAGAAGTGGCAGGTGGCACCTTGTTCGCCCCCACCTGAGTGTCTGCGCTATGAGTGAGGCGATCGGCATATCGCTGGGAATAGTGGTGTAGTCATTCCCTCAACCTCCTAGTTTCTTGATCATTTTAAGATCGGCGGGTTCGTAGAGAATAGAATGATAGAGGAGCACTAAGCTCCGCCTGCCGCCGGTTTGCGAACTGGATAAAGCTGAGGCCGCTCTTTCAGTAGCCCCAGGATACAAAAAAAGCGAGCTTTTTTCTGAAATCTCCAAATCCAAATCCAAATACTCTCTGATGTGCGAGCGTTGCTATTAGTTTGTGAAGCTCAACATTGATGACAAATTTATACCAGAATCATGTCATGATTATGATTACGACGAGAGAGAAGAATATTAACGAGGATGAAGATCATGAAGCCTGTTTTTGGATAACTTCGATCAAATCCAGTCAGATCCAAATTTTGATTTGAAAAGAAGTCGAAGTGTACTTCCAAGTTATCCAAAAAAGAATACACTAGTAGAACAAGACGACTAGTTTGTTCTGCTGGACGATGATGTGGATCGATGATGAATAGGTGAACGGGATGATGGATCGATCGATGATGATATCCACCAACTTGGCAGTACACTTCGACTTCATTTCAAAAAATTTTTCTGTGTCGCTAGTGAGGTCGTAATAGCGTTCAACTTCAAGGTGGTTTCTGTATGATAAATTGTCAAATAAAAGCTTTCATAAAGATTTTGGATCCACCATCTAAAGATTTTGGATCCATTTGCATGTGCAGCAGTTGTACATAGTCCTCTTTGTAGCTGCAAAAGTAAGTACTTCATACAAAAAAATGTCGTATTTTACTTCTACAACCACAAGAAATAGGACTGAAGCTCCTACAACTTCTGGTGGAGGGCCTTCGGCCCGCCACCAACGCAATCCTTCCAGGGCGGGTTTAGGCGCAGCTAGTGCTATCTCCTCTGTGGCCTTGGATGATTTTGAAGATGCAGATGACCTCGACCTGAAGAGAAAAAGAAGATCAGGAGGAGGAAAAAGTTCTTCTGAAGATGGTGAGTCAGAAGATGGTGACTCGTCTTCAAGCGATGAAGATGAAGTTGAAGAGAATGACGGACAGAGAAGGACAACCAAGAGAGGTAAAAAAACAGGAGAAGCGGAAGGCGACCCTTTATTAAACGCCTACGCAGAGGCAAAAGACCGTTGGCAAGTGGAGGGGCTCAAGAGCTTTTACTTGGAAACGGCGACTATTAAGGCTGCTAGAAGAAGAAAGTAGGCGACAGCTCTGACTTCTCGTTCTCGTTTATTTTCCTAGCATACGTTCTTGGAGTCTACTTCTTGAAGTCCCTCAAGAAAAAATCCGCTACTATGCCTCTAATAACAAAACCCTGTTTGTTTGGGATCAAATGGCTGGGATATTGTTTCAATTCGATAGGGGGACAGAAGATGTGGCTCCCATCTGGTCATCGCAGACAGCGGCAGTGAATGCCGAAATCTGGACAAGGTTGCCATTACCTCCCACTGATCCAGCTGCTGCGGCTAATGCAGCGTCTGGAAGTAGTCTTCTTACATCTGCTCCTGGTGCGGGTCGTGGAGGTACTTCTCATGAACATGAAGATCTACAACATCAAGAACAGCTGACGAAGGAAAAGGAGAAGGCGGCGGCTCAGCGGAATGCAATTCATGAGAAGTACCTACAAGGAGATGACCTGAAGAGATTTCGCAAAAAAGAAAAAAAGATTGAAAAGAGACGTCAGCAACAAGAACAACACGAACAAACTGCGGTAGAACATGTTCTTGTCGCTGACCAGCCAGCCCCATTGGATTCCGGTTTCATCGACCCTTCTACAACTGCAGTTCCGTTTTCATTGAGTGCTCTGCCAGTGGGGACTGCCGGCGACATTAATAGAAGTAGTACAACTGATAGTACACGAGGACCAGCAGATGACGACGACCTACTTACAAGTACAACTAGAGGCACCTCTCCCTGTATGGTTCCTTTAGCGCAAGATTGTCCTGAGACGCGAGACCGGATAGCTAAGGTTGTGACAGAAAATCGGTGGTCTACCAAAGTTGCTACAGCACTGAAGCGACTGCGAGCTCCTTTGGCTAGATACGCAATAGAGGGATTCATCTTAGCATTTAATAAAACTACCGCCGGAGGGGGAGGAGCAGATGAAAAAATGAACCACAAGAACGTGCAGGAAGGCGGATCTTCATCATCCACGACCTACTCCTTCTCCCGAAAGAGGATCACTTCCTCGTCCTCCAGAACAGGGGTCGAGTTTCCAGAGCAGGTGAACAAGCGTTTTTTGCAGTATATTGAAGAGCTGAAAGACCAATTCCCGTGGCTCGCCGGACAGCGGGAGAGGGAATCTCAAATCGGAATTTTCCATTCGGCTGCAATGGTCGGATCCATATTGCTCCCGGTTTTTCCTGAAATGCCACAGATTGTACTGCGTGTTGACGTAACGCAAGAAACGATAGTGCTAAAGAGCTTTTTGGGACGAGCGACGAGCACTAGCCAGAAGCGGGCAGCAACAGGTACTAAAACGAAGAGTAATAAACGTGGAGGTCCTGCTTCTAAGCGTCTGAGTGGTGGCATGGTTACCTCGCTCGCTTTAGACGAGGATGATAATTCCTCATCGGCAGACGACGATGTTGAGATGCAGGAACGCCCAAATAGCGCGACAGATGGCGCGTCCAGAAAGAACCTCCAGATTCTAGTGAACGAGGAACCCGCTTTCACAGGAGAAGATATTGTTGACAAGGATAATATTGTCACGATTAAAGGTGCCAACAGAAGAGTGACTGTCCAGATTGGGAACTTTTGCAAACTACGAATCGATCGCAATAGCGGATCCTCTGCGATGGATTTCCTTCTCAAAAAGGATGGAACGAGGAATGGACAGCTTGCTATCACGAACAACAATCCAACAGAAGAAAAGAAGCTAGCTGCTAGAGACCAAGAAGCACAAGTGCAAGACAAGATCATGGAAGAAGAAGAGGATATTCCTATGTTGATGAAAAAACGTCAACAACGTACAGGTGGTGGAGACGGTAATCCTTCTGCGCAAGGGACTACTACAACAACGTCAGCATTCACTTCTTCATCATCGAATATTACCACCACATCAAATAATACAACGTTGTTTTCTCAGCGAAGCAGTCTTGACACTCCAGAATACCACAAGGCTTATTCCGAGAAATTAGAAGCTAGGAGAAGAGACATCCATGACCGCATAGAGGCGGAGGGTGATTTGCTGCGAGATCCGGATGGAGATGAGGATGATAAAAAGAAGAACAGCAGTGGTGTGAGGGCCAAGAACAATCAAAAGAATCTTGCATTAGCTCGCAAGCGTAAAAAAGAAGAACCTGAGGAGGTCGATCTGGAATCGCTCATGCGTGAAAAGACCAAATATTCTTCCTCTTTTCTCACTATCATTTGATAAGGAGACCATCTTCACCTTCAGCATTTTTATCCAATTCTCGCTCCGACCTTCACAACAAGTTAGTAATGATTTTTGAGAGCAGCTTTCCACCATCGACGAGAGTTGTTCCATGCTGCACTTTGGCAGTACCTTGTTCTCGCCTCCACCAAGGGAAACCACGACGACAAGACTGGAGCAAAGCAGGGAGTATGAGAGGAGAGAGAAGTCAACAAGAGTGGGTGGAGCAGGGTATGTTGTGACTGAAACTACAAGTGATGAGAAACAGCAGTGGACTGTCTTATGTTGTTTCCTCAATCATGAAGCAGAGAGACACACACAGAGAGTGACAGGAGGAAAGAGAGTACTACATCAAGATCAAGTTATAGATAGACACACATTAAATAGGTAGAACAACAACTAGATTGACATTGATTTTGGTAAAACAAAACAACTACAACAAGACCACAAGGAAACGCCAAAAGACATACAAGACCATCAAAAACCATGTCGCAGCCACGGCCAAAGAAGCATGGGCATCATACGGGGAGAGAAATCATCCAGATTCAGGTAGGAAAATGCGGAAATGCTATAGGACACGAATTCTGGCGCGATATAGCGCAGGAGCACAGAATTGCGTTCGAAGGAACCGACCAAATGAATGGGAGATATACGGGAGAAGAGGTTCTTTTAATATTATGCTTTCCTTGATGATTATCATCAGATGATGCGTGGTGGAGGTTGCGGAACAGGTGGGCACCTTTGTTTGTGCCGCTGTTCTAACGCTAACCATGTTACGGTTGGACCTCATAATAGTTGGCCCTCTATTACAGAGCAAATTATCGAAAGAGAACAAGAAGATGAAAAAGAAAAATCTGTCTTCAACATAGTCATGATTGTACTAGGCTCACATCTACATCTGACTCATCCTCTTCTTGACAACATACACCTGCATGTACCTACAGGGCGCAATCTATCAGGAGAACCTTGAGGTTTTTTTCAATGAGGGTAGCAATGGACGATACGTTCCACGTGCAATCTTGGTCGATACCAATATGTCTGATTTGGCGCAGATAACAGGAGATAGTCTAGGGAGACTCTACAGACCAGAAAACATCATTGGGAATGACGAGGGCGCAGGAAACTGCTACGCCAAAGCTTTCCACACAGAAGGACCAGATTTGGCTGATCAGGTGTTTCTGTCTGAGGATAGTTGCTGTGAGGATATCGATTTGAACGTGGAGCTGCAACATTTTAGTTCAAGATTTTCATAATGCATTTGTCTATCGAAAGAAGCATGTCAACAAAAAGATTCACCCTTTGTAGGTAGCATGCAAGTAACAGCTACAGCATAGTTCTTCAGGTTCTCGAGACCGTCCGAAAAGAAGTTGAGAAGTGCGAATGCTTGCAAGGAGTGCAGTTTACACATTCAATATGCGGAGGAGCGGGTAGCGGTCTCACAGGACTTTTGTTGAAGACGTTGTACGACTACCTCGATAAGGGATCCAAGTGTATCCTGCAGTCATTCACCGTCGTACCGAGTCCAGGACTTACGGATGTCATTTTGGAACCGTACTAATTTACTTCCGCTTTCTCGTCCTCTAGAATGGAATGATCGTCCTTCATCAGTTCATCTTCTCTACTACTTGTGGTCCTAGAAATTATACTCAATGATGTGGTTTAATATTTCCGGTCTTTCAAAGTATTGAGATGATTCATCTTGATGAGCAAGAACAAGTAGTTTAAAGGAGCGCTCCTGTATGCAACCACAACTACAGATACAATGCAGCACTGGGTATGCAAGATTTGCTGGAGTACTGTCATCAATGTTTCCTCTATGACAATGCGGCGTTGGGACAGATAGTGCAGAACACCTGCGAAGTCGATACGCCGAAACTCTCCCATCTGAATAACATCGTCGGGCTTTGCATGACAGGTACTTTTCATATACCTCTGTATGTATAAAAGACACTATTCATGTGCTGGTCGTGGACCCTCAACTTTAATCAACATGATTCCACCGGTTCGTCACAACTGCTTCTGTTCCCATCTGCTATTCAACACACCTTTGCTCCTTGACGCTGTTTGTTCCTAAGAACGCAGGATCACTCTCACTCTTTGAAAAAAGCACTGTGAGCATCCTTTTCATCCTCGTCTCCTCGACCGCCACCATAAGGTTTAACCTCATGCCTCCGCCTTCCGGGAATCCTTGATGCTGATTTGCGAAAGATGCAAACGAATTTAGTTCCTTTTAAGAACGCACACTTTTTGTGCTCGAGTTTCGCGCCACTAACGTCACCAGCCAACAAAGAATACAGAAAATTCTCAGTCCTAGATCTGGCTCAGCAAATGATCAGCAAAGACAATTTCTGTATCAAATGCGACCCACTGAATCCAGGGGATGCGCGAGAAGGTATTACTTATGGTATTTCAATTGAGTCCTAGATGGTCTACGAAACCAAGTCTGAGTTTTCTAGAAAGGCACTCACGGCCTCATTATACCTTGCAAGATACCTCTTCTTCAATCTCTTGCGAAGACACAAAACAACCAACTTATTGCTTCTCCATCTCAATTCTCAAGAACATCTTCTCCCTTCCCCTCTTTCTCACCGTCACCAGGCATTCTCAAAGCGCGATTCCTTGCCAGCTTTGCCGCTTTCCGCGGTAATATCTACTCATCCGAGGCAGACCAGGTGATATACAATCTGCAGAAACATGGGTCAAGATTTGATCACTACTTTCCCGATTGGATTCCGAACTGTATATCTACGTCAATATGTGCAGTACCGCACGAGACGCAGGGTGATAGTGTCACGTTCGTGTGCAACACCACAGCAGTGCACGAGGCGTTCGATAGAATATGTGCAAACTGGGACTCATTGTACTGTTATGATAGAAATATGAGTTTCATCTTTTTTAGTCAATGAGGTGCCGCAGTTGGAATGGCATGATGACCCCAATTTGACGATTGAATTTTAATTGTCATTAAAAGTTGATAAATAATCAAAAATTTTTTTGATTTTCAAATTCTACTTTCGAAATTGAATTTTTGAAAATACAATCGTTGATTTTGAAAGTGCGACATCAAATCAATGTCACGACCAAAAAAAGGCTGTAATGAAGTGGGATGAATTAGAAAATTGTTGAAATTCGAAATTTGCATTTGAACTTCCAAAATTTTGATTTTATCTCTTTTTATTCAAATTCAAACTCAATCGTGAGATTGAGCATAATACGACAGACATTCAACTTTCGTCTCCCAAAATTACCCTCATGGAGGAATGACAACTCAGAACAACTAAAAGTGAATCTATTCGACTGAAAATTCAAAGGTACAAGAGTCGTTCGTACCTGTACGTGTACGAGCAGGATGGAATATCGACCCAAGATATGATGGAGAGTAGGAATATTTTGCGGTATGTAAGCGACCAGTATCAAGAGTTCGCTAGGTGGGAGGATAAATTCTTTGATGGCAGCAGCGGCCCGGATGGAGGTGTGATACTCAACGAAGCTGCGATCCTGAATCCAGAGCAAGAGACGATCGCGAAGGAGCTCGCGGAACTCACCGACTGCTACATCGCGACACAAGGACGGGCGTGAATATAAGATGAACTTCGGGAAATGACAGAGTTTACGATTATAATACGCACCGATAGAAGGTGAATTTTCGAAGAATATTTGATCATACTTCCAACTACTATAGATTTAGAGTACGATGAGACTTCGATGCTCGAAGACTACAATAAGTGGGCCATTCCACTTTTTTCAAATAGATGTCCATAAAATTTGATCATACAACACAAAATACACCAAATATAAAAGCAGATAGAGTATGTTGGGGGAGCAGACGCGGGGAGTAACAGTAGGGTGTACTTCGATTAGTATGTAGAAGAATGAATCTGTATCTGGACAATTAGATGAATCCATTATATGAATCCAATTCCAAAGTCAAAGTCAAAGATCACGTTGTCCTACGTGTGGTGTGTTTTTGCGTTGAGTAGTTACAATGATTCCTTAGCCGATAGATGAAAAACCGATTTGTTATGTTTATGCGACCACGGTGATCCTGGTCCACGAAGATTAGATTCCCTCCATAAGTCCAGTCGTGGAGGTAGCTTTTGTGAACAAGATTTTGATGTACACTAGCTTCCAGATGTTGAGATTTTGTTTTTGGTGTTACGCCTTCGCAACGACTACGCTACCTGGTTGTAGTGTGACATCCGCGAGGAGGACTCTTGTTGGAACTACGCCCTCGGTTGGTTTTTTCTTGAGTTGAGATCACATGAAGATTATATGAGAGGTACAACAACTACAACAGCGACCATGATCAAGAAAGCACCACAGCACGTTGATCATGTTGCAAAAGTCCTCGAGAGAGAGATGTTGAGAAAATTTTTATTGAGATGCATGACCGTTCCCAGGATCGCGAACAGGTGGATCTTCTTTTCGAAAGAAGCTTTGTTTTTTGGTTCAAGCAAAGCAGGACCCTTTTTTGGATCATGTTACAGTTTTTTTTTTTTGCAGTACTAGGTAGTCACCACGCAAACGCAATGCCTCATGGCGAGAGAGAAATTCAAGAACGACGAGTGAAGATCGACCTTTTTTTCTCTAGCACAGTAAAACAAAAGTCGTCGTTGTAGTTGTACAATTAGGTTGCTGGACTAAAGCTATAATGACGTCGTTGTAGTTGTGCAATTAGGTTTGCCATGTAAAAAAATTGTTTTGAATATACTGGTGTGCATCTTCAACTTTAGCAAATTACAAATGTGAATCTGTTGCATCGATCCTCGTCACCCCAAAATAATCCTTTAGGCTTCTCTTGTTGAGTTTATTAACCATAATTGGTTGTCAGAGAATCTTATTCTGAGAGGGATCCATCAAGACCACCAACAACTTTGACTTTAGCACCAAATCATCCCTACTCTTCTATTTCCCCAAAGTAAGAAGAAGATCAGCGGAAGAATGAAGACCGCGCTGCATTGCGCGAATACCGTCGAACCACACGAGCTCGTTGCCGATCCGACTAACGCAAAGCCCCCTCCGCCTATGAATAACATCAATAATTGTTACAATTCCCTTGACCCGACTGCAGCCGAAGCCGAGGAGCCCACTCGCAACGAAGATAAAACCACAACACCTCCCCCGTCCTACAAGACTGCGATTACATTCGGGACGTTTGACCTTTTTCACCTAGGTCATTTGCTGATCCTCGAACGTGCGGCGGCTTTTGGAGAACGCCTCGTGGTTGGCGTATCCAGCGATGACCTCATTATGATTGATGATGGAGCACTGGCACATTGTAGATATGATAATGTTTCATGTTTGTACAACAAGAACTGATACTACAATACCTTTAGCTTTACAAGATGTAATTAGTCCAGTTTTGTCCTTTTCGAAGCACGTGTTCTAACCCCTCTTTCCGCAAAAAAGGGAAAAAGCCGATCTTTGACGAAGATGCCCGTGTCCAGTTAGTGAAGAGTCTGAAGTGTGTGGACGAGGTTTTTATCGAACATTCTTTGGAGGAGAAACGGCAGTACTGTATCGACCATGGTGCTTCCGTTTTCATCATGGGCGACGACCACCTCGGTCGCTTTGATGCCATGCTTAAGGGTATTGATCTTTTGATGATGAACTTGAAGACCACCTCAAGAAAACCATACATTTTTCTGCTCTGATCATGCTCTGAATGAGCTTATAAAGAAGACTGTTAGTTGCACATGCACTCTATCAAAGAAAACTACGAAGTCGTATGCATCGATCGAATTTTTCCAAAAACCAAATCTCTCGTTACAGGTGTCTGCGACTGTCATTATTTGCCGCGCACAAAGGGTGTGAGTTCGACGGATATTGAAATCATCTTATCTGAGCGCCTGTCGAAAGGTGGAGTGATGGATAAAGCCGCCAAAGAAATGCTAGAGAAAAGCATGTACTACTTTTTTTCGCTTTAGATGATTTGGCATCGCGCTTAAGCGCATGCATCTCGCCCACCACGTGTGCGCTGCGGAGGGGGGCGCTGCTGTGCTCCTAAGGAGTTCCATGGAGATGGGAAATGCCGCGGCGGACAGCGTGGAGAGGAGGGCCGCTTTTGCGCCGGACTATTTTCGACTCTGTGGAAGCGTCTGGGTGGGTTGCTCTGCGTTCATGGGCACCGAGGGGAGCACGGGGCCGCGCACTCCTGAATGGGGGAGGTGGCTGCTTGGGAAGCTTCCTAGCTCTACGCCAAGAGGCTGGCACATTTCCCGAAAAATCTCCACAAATGGCGAGGGGTCTTGGGCCGGCGGATGTGATCTGGCGCAGTTGGTTCTGCACCGCGTTGCGAGAGCACTTCCCGGAGAAGCGAGCTCCGGCGAGCGTTCGCGGCGCCATCGGAATCTGATGGGTCTGGATTGCCTGCGGGAGTCTGCCACATCCCCAGCACAGACGGGCGCGCAGATTGGCGGCGCGAGTAGCAGCAGCGGAAGCCGGCCTGGCTCGGCGCCGCGCACCTCGTCAATGTTGCCACCGGCTTGCCGCATTTCGATAAGTCGCAGGCTGCTCCGCCTCCGAGCGTAGAAGCGGCGGCCTTTTTTTTGAAGTGGGGGAACCAAGGCGAAGGAACTGCGCGGCTGATAAGGTGGCGCTTGTTGCAGGGCTTGCTATGGACTTAGATAGCGAACGCCGGGCGATGACGCGGGGGCCGGTGTCTCGTAGAGAAGAGCGCCAGGAGCGGACTGGCCGCCTGGCTCCTGGAGTCTTCCGCCTTGGAAGATCGGGGGCTGCTGCGTCTTAGAACGTCCACGGGCGGCAGGCTTGACCTTGCCACCCACTTCGTCCCAGGAGACGAAGGCAGAGGGCGCCGCCATAAGACCAGGAGCCGGGTTGGGTCTTGGACCTTGGGACCACCCTGAGGCGCGTGAACGCCTTGGGCCCTTGTATTTTGTGACGTGCGACGCGTGGCGACTGTCTTTCGAGCTGTGCGCGGGAGCATGCGCGCAGCGCCTGAGGCACAGGCAGCGCAACGAACTGAGGACAAGGGGCGCAGGTGCATGCGTGACATGCTTCGCGTCATGTATAACAGCCCACCGGCGAAGAAAATGCACGCCCTTGGCTCGAAGACAACACCGCGAAACTTTAAGGGGGCTGGCGCTTCTTCTGCTGGTCACGTCACCCGGGAGCGAGTGGGGGCCGCGCTAATAATAGACGAGGCGACTCCACCCATGGCGGCGAAGTATTGCAGGCAGGTGCGCAACAATCCGGACTATGCTCGCTGTCGTGGTCACAAGCGCCAGGCGATGACCCGCTGCATGGCTCTGCTCGTTGCGGCCGCTCGCGCAAAGTCGACGCGCAAGATGGCGGACAAGATGAGCAGGATGGCCCGCGGTGAATCCGGTAGTTGGGGGCGCTACTACGTTGATGATGCAACTTTTCGGAACGATGACGCAAAAAATGAGGGCCGCCAACGCGCCAGGCCTAGGCTCCAACAATGCGCCGGCACCCATATCGCTTTCTACTCCTATGCGTCCCCGTGCAGTACCTTTGGGCCATGAGAATCGGCCAGCAACTGGAGAACTTAGGGGGGTCGCTATTGCGAGGAACAAGGGGGCGCCGGAAACTACTAAGACAGCCGCCCGGTGCCGTCAACGAGTTGGAAGCCATGGGCGCATTGTAAAGGGTGACCCCAAATGCACCAGTAGCAGCACCACTAGAGTGAGCCGGGCCGCGTCAAATACTGGGGCCAGGCCCAAGGCAGCAGTCGGATCAACTCCAAAGGCAACAGGCTCTAGTAGTACTAATTTTATGATCGGCCAGACTTTCAACGAGGAGCACCGCGCAAAGATCTGGCCGCGCTTGTGCGGCAATGGCGTGAGGGTGTTCTCTCTGGAGGAAGGACGGCTCGGGGGTGCGCTTCTCCATCGGGATAGTGAGTGAGGAAGGGGAACAGTCGCGCGCAGTTCCATGGGCACCACCGCGCCAGGACGGTTGGAACGCGGGAGGGCTGCAGCTACCGATACGGGCCAGCAGCTCACCGCGGTGGCTTTTCATATCTTCGGCACTTGCGGCAGTTGGTTCCGCGTGTTGACTTGATTACTACCGCGTGAGCCTGGGGGCTTCTGTCCGAAGCGCCTCGCCGTTGCGGATAGGGAACGCCGAGACAAAATGGCCAGCAGTAGCAAGGGCAGCAGCGTGGAAGCCTGCGGCTAGGCTGGACAGCCTGCAACTCTCCGAGTGAAGTGGATGCTGCAGCTTCTGAGCTGCGGCGCGCCTCGCTAGAAACCGGCCGCAGCCAGTTTTGGCCCGGCTCTGCTTGGTGTGCCGCGGCGTCTTCGTGCTGGACTGGTTCTGCGACAAGGGCGGGCGGCAGCGTGGGGCGGGGGCCCTTCTGGTGGCCGGTCCCGCTGGTCGGCGGCTTGGTCGGTCGTGTGTGGAGTTAGTTTTGCGGCACTGCCTGGCGTCTAGTTGTAATTTGCGCCAGGCTCGCCGGTTGCGTTCGTGGCGGGTTTGAGGTCTTTCGCCGTTCATTGTGCGCGCCCGTGAGGCGCTCGCCCTGTCTGTAAAGCTGTGTCGCGCGGCGTCTCGCTACTAACTTGCGCGATTTTTTCGTTGGCAGGAGTGAGGCGCAGGCTTCGCGGTCAGGGAGACATGGGTGGGAGTACTTGTTTTAGCGTATAGGTCAGTGGATCGAGTGGGTGAGTCAAGTCAACTCCGCGACTGGATGTTTTTCGCGTTTTGATTGATGGGGCGAATGTAAGAACCTAGAGCTAGAAGACTTTGACTTTATCTTTGCGCACCAAGGCGCACCGGCTGGGCCGTTCTGTCGTCGCCAATGTTTCCGAACGAAAAAGCAATGGCGCTTCAGCTCGCTCCATTGCCTCCTTTTCTTTCAGGTATGATTCTCTGATCTCCTGCACCACACCAAGCGCGGCGACTGTGCAGCCAGAGAGCGCTCCTACAGCTGAGGGAAACTCTTTGAAAGAGTTAACTGAAGAAAACCTGAAATCTTGGTCCTCTGGAAACAAGGGAACAAGCAAGAAGCTCATTTCCACCGAACTCTTTTTCAATCAGAACAACGACGATGTTCTTGAGGAGCACCTGACGTCGACGTGTGACAAAAATGCACTTTTGCAGCACAGCACGCAGGTCAAGGACCAAAAAACTTCTTCTAATGCGATCATGTCAACTCCAGTGTTGAAGCACAAAATTGTAGATGAGGAAGCAGAGGTGTATCAGAATACCATGTCACCTCCTTCGTCCTGCTCGACTGGCAACTCGTCTCCTCTCTCATCATCAACGAGGCACGCACCAGCTCGTACTACAGTAGGAACTATGACGCCATCGCCAACTTTTATGAAACAGAAACCCAACATGACAACCACAATTAAGGATTTCCGAATTACATCCCTCACGACTACCATCCTTGGGCCCTTTTCCTAGTAGAAAAGAAGCCAGGGATGTAGGTCTGAGGCGTGTAAAAATTCTGTAACCTCTAACACAAGCTGCGGAATGCTGAACCCATCTTCATCAACAATGAAACGCACGCCCTCAACTGCAACTACAGTGGCTTCGCTAGCCGCTTCAACAAAGATTAAGGGCTCACCTCCTTTGTTGAATGGCCACGTGTGCAGTCTGCCAATGGGCGTCGACTCTAGTGTCGCTGAGACCATGATGGGGAGCAGCTGCAAGGACGATATCAATGCTAGTACAACGACTCCTGTGCTGCGTGCGCGAGTAGGCGGAGGTACTAGTGCCTCATCTTCAAGCAGTAGTCCTAAGACTAAGACAAGCCTGCTGAACCACGCTTCTTGTGACGCCTCAGCGACCAACCTCACCCATGGTGAGCGAACAGAGGGCACAAATGCAGTATCGAAGTGCATCGATTCGGTCATGTATTTTCTCGTCTACCTGCATGACGAATACTACTTGTGGATCCAGTACCTCTGCTCCCCGATTTGCAAAGCCATGCCTCGAGAGGTGAATGGCATAACGGTCTTCACAGCAAATATCGTCACTTACGCACGAACTTTGCTGACGCTTGTTATCTGCTACTTGTTGAAGACGACTACGACGACTAGAACTACCACCTCTACTGTAGAGACTCCTGTTGGTTCTACTGTTCTTGAGACTGTTGAGACTGTTGGTCTTGGTTCTGGATACAACATGATGAGCAATTTATTGGCAGCTTTTCTCGTCATGTTCCACGACTTCTTGGATCATGTGGATGGGGTTGTGGCGAAGGTACTTCATACTTATGAAGATTTTGAAAAATATTGATATTTCTTGTTTCTGACTTTGAAATAATCCTTGTGTACTCTCTGTACGTGTACTCTCGACCGTGTTAGTCGTAGCGGATGCATCTCTCGATGACGTTCTCTCGAACTTGATCCTAGCCTCTAGCCTTTATTTTAGTGTCTCTAACATCATGTCTCTTCTTGGATCATGTGGATTCTTTTTGGATGGGGTTGGATCAAAAATGGATGGGGTTGGATCGTTACTCCTTCAAAAATCACATCAAGGTCCAGCGTGAGGATGGTCGAGCAGCCGGAGATTGCGGCAGATGGGGTGGCTTTGTTGATGCACAGTGCGATAAAATCGTTTTTTGCACATGCTTGTGGACTCTGATTGTTCTCAACGATATTTCAGGGAGCGAGGCAAGTGGAGGTATTTTTGTTCCATTTTAGCCTTGAGTGTCGCTCGCTCCTATCGCTGGAACTAGTGTCCTCAGATGCTACATAATACAACAGAATAGAGGTCCTCGAAAGTCTATTATCTCATCAAGGGAATCCAAATTGATTTGATTTTCACAATGAATTCAATTCCTCTGAAGAAACTCAATCTATTCTACACCAGCTCCATCTCTCCTTGGCATCACGTTGACTGGAACTTGTTTTGGTTTGATTATGATGGAGTTAGCCATCGCATGGGTTCGAACTCGCGATTACTATCAAGCAGTTTATGCGAGCACAAAGGCTCAAGGGGCTTTGCGAGCTATCGGCGAAGGCAAGCTGAAACAGAAAATGGAAAGCTGTGGGGTAATAATATCCATACAAGATGAACATTTTTTTTTTCTTTCATCTCTTCACTATAATCAAATGTAAAAATACAACATGGTTGCAGCACAGCACTTCTAGGTTGTTCACGTTCAACCATTTAAAAGAGCAGAAAGATCTTCGACTTATTTATTGCGTCAACATCAGGTTCCTCCGATTCCCTTTTTTCCAAATTCCCTTTATTTTTTCAGGTAGCAGCACTGTGTTTGATTGCTCCGACGCCGTGCGCTTATCCAGTCACCTGTTGGACGGCAGTGGTGTTATTGTGGGTCGGCATCTATTTCGCCTACAAAAGCTTGGAGCATAAGCTTCGACATTCGGTCGCATAGAGTAGATGGAGGAGCTGGATAATCATCAGGATCAAGATTATGAGCTGATCATCAAGAGCAAGATGTAATCTGAAAAATGATCTGAAAAATCTGAATAGAAATAGAAATAATCTGAAAAATCATGTAGTTGACCACTCGTCATCGACATGTCGATTACATAGTAAGTTTAGTACAGTTCTTCGCGATCCCAGGGCTTTTCAATCTCCTGGGACCGACGTAACGAATATTGTGTGCAGATGGTTCTCCATTCTCTTTCTCTGGGAGTAGAATCGAAGCCTATACTTGATCATATTAAGAAGAACAGCGATAAAGACATGACTAGTCATGTTTTGCTGGGGGGGTATTTGTATTATAATAGAAGTTGGTGTTGTAGTTCAGAAATAGCAGGATAGAAGAAAGTCTTATAACAAAATAAAGATTCACAAAATGTTCAGCTCTGTTACGAATCCTTGGGAAAAGACCGAGTTGTAAATTATATAGCGTAGAAGTTTCTCTTTCTCGTTCTTCGAATTTCCGACGTAGTAGACAAAGATACGAGCAGATGTACCTAGGGGGATAATAGGTTGTAATTATATCAACACACAAGAAGTTATAGTAATGATAGATCGCGCCGCTGCCGGTTTGTTGTAGTTCTACTTCCACCTTGTCATATGCGATCATGCAGTTGGGTGTGGATCATTATCATGATCCGTATTTGAGATGAATTACCTAGTGGTGGATACCATACGGTGTGATTTAGAGCCGGTTCGGAAAAAGCAGAAGAACTAACTAGTGTTTAACAGGAAAACCCAGAAACAGAAGGTAGTTATGAAATACAACGGTCAACAAGATTGATGCAAATGATTATGAATGAAATTATGACTACAATAAAAATCGCATTCTAGTACCGACGAGATGAGATCGTTTATTTGGTTTAAGGCGGGCCACAAGAGCTTTGCAACTGAAATTTCTAAAGATGAACTACTTAAGTGAAGCTGAAGCTGATGTTATGACAAAGTCTTCGAGAATTCAAATCCAGGCGACGAGACTGTTGCTGTGGGATTATCATGGTAGGAGAATGGGGTAATTGAAGCCTATGGCTCTAGTTTGAAATTTGGTTGATTAAGATATGTTCAGAACTGTTACTAGATTTTTAACTATCATTCAATGAAATTTAAAACCCGGTGAGGTGGTGCAGATGCAGGATGTCCGGATTGGCAACCTAGTCTTTCACTTTCTCCAAATCATCTGCACTTGATAATTGGCTAAAGCTGATAATAGTAATTCGATCGGTACTTCTAGTACAACTTTTATTAGCTCTGAACTTCATTTCTTTTTCGAAATGGGATCACTACAAAGTAGTAGATTCGCATTCTTTTGAAATTTTGATAACTTCTCTCGTCTCTGACTCTGAGAGACGACTATATGAAATTTTTACCTCTCCTTCTCTTATCTTTCTCCTTCAACAAACAAGAACCATAGAGATAGAGATAGATGCTCGTTGGGGGGAAGATATCTTCGGGGAGTTGATATATTATATGATAGACATACTGTAGATGTCCGGCAATATTATCTTCACTTAGTTGAAATCTGAAATCTAAATCTAACCAATTACACTATTTTTGTCTTACATTAGCAAGACGGTGAAAAGTAAGTTAATAGCAGATGAGGAGTGGAATCGTCGAGGTGAGCACATCAACAAGGACATTACAACTACAATGGGGCGAAATTTTAGCAGCATTTCAAGGCAGCTCTTTGTTCTTGCGGTGTTTCGTGTTTCGTTCATTCTTTCATAATTTTGTGCTAGGTCGTACTAAAAAGCAATAGTCCCCGAAGTGTTATATGGCAGTGTTCATTCTCTACTTACTCGAATTCATCCAGTATTTAAAAATAGACAAGAATGAGCAAAGAGAAAGAGCGCAAGCAAGCAAAATGGCAAAAAAGGCAGAAGAAAGAGCGCAAGATGAACATCAAAGTATCTACGACGCCCGTATGGCAGTCTGCACTGAACTACGCGGAAAATATGTAGGCAGGTTCTTTACGGAACTCGTTCGCGATACCAAAAAAAAAAGTGCGATTAATTGCATTGTATCGTAATGATCCAGCGAAAAACGAGAAAGGATGAAGACAATGTAGATTATCATCAACTCTCTTCTTAGTATTGCGCTTAGAATTAATATGGTATCTCCTGCAGTCTCTTCGACCCGTCGGGTCCATGCTGTGGACAAAGCGGCTTTGAGGGCTTCGATGAAACAGTCCCTACTGAAGGCTCAGAAAAACGATGGAGGGTTTGGAGCTGTGCCGAGGACTGAGCTTCCCTCTGTGTTGGAAGTAACGAAGTTATGTTGAGGTGGAGAGTTTTCGCTTTAGTTCTACTGGTTACCAAGAAAATGGTTTAACTGTCACCAGAGGTAGTACCACACTTACCTGGTACTTCTATGAATAATTGACCAGTACTTCTTTGTTTGACCAGTGGTACTTCTATTAATATTAGACTAGTACATAGATCCACAGCCACACTTTTCTTCTAACCTCCACAACCGGAGGAGAGCGTCTTTCCGAATGTTCTGAGATGGTGACACCTATGGAGACGGCTGGACGGCCTCTGATACCGCCAACAGACGAAGATATGTTTTTCACCCCTGCAGGCGTCGAGGAGGGGTGGAGAGCGGAAGAAGTAGTGAAAGAAAACGAAGATGCCGAGAAGACTCCAGTAAGTTCTAGTAGTACTCGTGAGGTGTCATCAAGCTCCAGTTCTAGGGTGTCGCGACTCGATGATGTGGCGGCAACAAGTGCTGACGATGAAGATGTGACCACGTTGTATTCTTCGAATTATTGGAGGAACAGTGACAGTAATGATAACGAAGGTCTAGGGGACAACAAGAATAAAGACGTGAAAAAAACTACAGCGACGTCATCTTCAACGTCTGCTCTCGTTTCTCGAGAAGCAAGTACGAAAAGCGGTTCAGTCGTGGCAACAGCAGGCGAGAGCAGCTCCAAGAAGCCAGATGTGGTGATCTCGGTGAGCCAACTGACTTTAGAGCAGATAGGACAACACAAAAAGCATGGAACAGTTTTGTTCAAAGAACAAAAATACAGCCAGTCGATCGACGAATATTCAAAGGGTGTCACTCTTTGCGAATCCGTTGTCAGAGATATGGCCGCAAGGATGATATCATCCTCACAACATCAACATGCTCGTTCACTAGGACGTTTCATTGACCTTAATGGGCTTAGGCACTACTAGACTCTTTGTGTTGATCTCATCTTCTACGTCTTCTTTGAGGAAGATTCGAACCTGTGGTGCCTTGTTATTCTCACCCTTCACAAACAACCACACCGACAAAGAGGACCAAGAGGCCAAAGACGACAGCTCGAAGACTGTGAACCTCGTAGATATCAAGGAAAAATTGGCAGCAATGTTGGGGAACCGCGCATTGTGCTACTTACAACTGGAGAAGCCGAAGGAGGCATTTGCGGATTGTGAGCAGTGCCTGAGCCTTTTCCCACTCACAAACGATTGTTCTAGCAGCTCTTGTAAGTATGCCTATCGGCGTTCCGTAGCAGGAGAGAAAATGAAGTTGGATGGACCCGAGAAAACAGATTGCCTCACAGCATTGTTTCACGCAGCGGAAAGATTGAAGGTATAAAAAAATCGGATTTCTTGTTGGATGGGATGCAAGTGATGAATTAGGAATGTAGGTAAAAGAACTAGATGAGAGTCAGAGCTTAGGTATTACGAGTTGATGTACTAGCTGAACAAGATCATAGTATTTCCATTTCCTTCTTCATCCGCAGCTCCTGCTCCTGCCCTCATCATACTAGGTACTCTCCATGGACAAAGAGGCAGAAGCAGCATTGGGTTTGTATTTTCGTTGGTCTCGACAAGTATCTGCAGACGCGCTAGTCCAGCTGGCTCGTAGCAGTGGCTTTGATGTCGATGAAGAAAGCGTGAAGAGACTCGAAGGCGAGTCTTCGTCAACGGCTTTGGCTGTAGCCAGTGGTTCAGACAATGGTTCGGGTTTACAGGGTCCATCTGCACAAAAAGGTCCACTGCATGAGCCGATTCCAGCTGAGAGTGATTATTTCAAGGCTGGAGGTGGTGAAGCTGCGGAAAGGTTCTTGGATATGACCGCTGAAAATTTGAGAGAACGCGGAATCGTGGGACCGGAAGAACGAGATGATTAGGTGCTGTTGATAGTTTTCATTGGTCTTAGTTAGAGTGGACATCGAGACTTGTTCACCGCGAAAATTTGGATCTATTGAGAGCAAATTGTCGTATAGAAATAGAGACACCTGTACTCAACTAATTTATGAGTAAATATATGCTAGTAATATGACTAAATCTAAAGTCTCTACTCGTCAGCTAATATGCCAGTAAAAGATCATAGATTCACATTCGGGTACTGGATGAAATCCAAATCTTCTTCAACGTCTTCTAATCTTAAGCGGAGCTGCCACCGCACTTGCGGTCTCGGATCGATCTGCAGGCAATGCGAGAGCGTTTGGAGAAGATTGCCGCCGAGACTGAAACCGCAGTTGAGAAAATCCTCGCTGAAAACGAAGCAAATACAAGTTCCACTACTTCTAGTGGAGGAGCCTTTGATCCGCCAAGCAGAGTCAGTACAACAATAGACAAGGAGATGAGCAAACCTTGTTCTACAACTTCTGTTGTCAAGACCACAGCTGCTTCAACATCAGTACAACAAACATCTTCTTCATCCACATCCACTACTAGAAGAAAGATTGGTCAGTTTGTTCCTGTCTTGCCCGTAGAGGATTCCGACTCCGACGAAGAGGAAGAGGAAGATGTGAAGGAGGATGAAGGACTAGAGAAATTGCCGGAGGAGGAAAGGAAAAAACTCGAAGTTTTCCAGGAGTTTATGCGGCGAAAGGAGCAGCGGCAAGCACTCATGAATCGGTGGCGCGATCATACGGACTATTCTCAGGGAGCTATTGAATCGAGGACAGAGTATTCGTAGCAAATCATACAGACTATTCTCAGGGAGCTCGTGAATCGAGAGCAGGGTATTCGTAGCAGATCATACAGACTATTCTCAGGGAGCTCGTGAATCGAGAGCTGCAGAGTATTCGTAGCTTAGGTAGTTGTAGCGTTCGAGGACGAAGAGCTTTCATGCTAGTAAGAAACAAGTTCTTTCAACAATATGAGGTTTCAACATCATGAACTAGGCCGTAATGTTGTTTTCAATTCCGACCATCATGTTGTCCAGCAAGCGTTTTTTCTTCTCGATGAAGGTCTTCAATTTTACTATTTCTTGGTAAAAAAACCTGAACAGATTAACAGAATTGCACATGCTTGCAGGCGTGGTGTTTTTTGAATATGTGAGCATGGAAGTGGTGGCCATTTTCACAAGATAACATGAACATAAAAACTCTGATATTAATAGTGTGGTTCGTCATCGTCTTCGTCTAGTAAAAACTATGTCAAAATCAAAAAAGTCTTATAATTTTATGTTGAAAGTGCCGTATGCTTTTCCAGCTTGGTGCGTTGCTCTTTTACGCTACCAATCTGCCTTTGGTGTCATGATTCGTGTGTTCTGCTGCAGCAGATCGCCCGCTGCAGACGCGCTGTCTCTCTCTCTCAGTATCTGTATCATCGTTGCTAGCGAAAAAGAAAGGTCTCATAGCTACATGTTGGAGCACATAGTTCTTGGCGCAGTGTTGCGGGTCCTGCTGAAGTTCGTGTCTCCCACACAAAGAAAGGAAAAGTGAAGCTCACCAATGCCAAAAGGAGAAGAAGAAAAAGATCTTATTGTATACAGCTAGAAACTGCTTCAGACTAAAGTTTTTCGGGGCCAATCATGACTAAGTTTTTCGTCAAAAAACAAAATATTTACATATAATAGTGCCTAAACGAAATAAGTCATCACCATGGCAACTACCGCGACATCAAGAAACCCGTTTTCTTGGGATCAAGCCGAAGAGGAGGCGCTGGATTCAGGCCATGTAGCGTCCCCAGGATACGCCCGACGCAAGCCCTCCGTTGGCGAACTAATAGAACTAGAGCAGCCTCCTGTACCGGTAGTTGTATCTCGACGTGCTAGTCCGGTTGACAATGTTGTTGGGAAGACCACAGTCTTCGACTCGTCATTCAGAGAGAAAGTTGCCTCTCATAGTGGTGAAGCTACTGGTGCGACGAGCACGAAGGCGTCGCCAAGCGCACTGGAAAAAATTTCGATTGTTATGTGCTTAGCATATTTGCGATAATCTTTTGATATTCATCGTTCAGCTAGAATAAAAAGCTAAAGAAGTAAGTCTAGACTTGAGATCAAGTCCACTACGTAGACTATGCACTTCAATTACAATTTTCTAATCTTCTAGCCGGTTCCAGCAACATAGTGGAGCATTTTTTCATGGGCACACCCGAGTCGAGCGTCTCTCGCCCAGCGGATAGTCGGAGTCAGAGTCACAGTATGGCCCTTCAAGAAGAGGCGATTGACGAGGAAGACGAGGACTTCGATACTGGCTATGGAGCACGGCACGATGATGATCTTGCTCCTGGTCCTCGCGGAAAACAAGGCTTCGGAGCACGGCACGATGATGATCCTGCTCCTGGTCCTCGCGGAAATAAACACGGTTTCGAGCGACGGGGCCCCTTTGATAAAGAAAACGAAGCAGATGGAGCGATGATGAGTACGAGCATCCATTCTCTGGACGAACACCTCCACACTAGTGGTGATCGACAGGACGTAGAAATGAACGTGCCAAATGAAGATCCTGTTCAAGAACGGGATCATCTTAGAGGTATAACAAGTACTACAGGAGCTCATCTCCACCTTGTTGACGATGATATTCAACATCATCTAGAAGTTTTGACATCCACGCCTGAACGAGGTACGGAAACAAGAACCACAAGAAGAGAAGATGATGTTGAAGTGATACGTCTGGGCCAGCGTCCACGCCCTCAGGAAAGTGATAGGAAACCAAAAACCGTCGACGTCTCATCTGCTAGCCTACAGGAAGATAAAGCGCCGCGGAGTACTAGTAGCAGGTAGAATATAACCACTTATATATATTTAGATACTGTTCTGAGATGGAGTTATTGTGTGTGTGTTTTTTCAACGAACGCGTGGTAAAGCTAAATTCTTATTGTAACATCAACGTGATGTCCTCGTCGCTCAAGAACAATGAAGGTTTCAAATACTGCTCAATCCACCGACAGAAGTCGCCCTTCTTCGGTTCCACCCGCGGCCTCGAGACAGCGCATGCGGAATACTCCGACACAAGAACAGTTGTGGAACATGAGATCCAAACTTCGGGATGAGATGGAACAATTACGCCTAGAGTGTCGAGAAGCGGAAAGACGGCACGTCGCAAGTTTCGCAGCGACCGCCTCTCCTGCATCCTCCTCTCGCTCTAGAATCCTGTTGGATAGGAGTAGAAACGACAGCGGAGGCGGAGGTGGTCCTCTTGCAGGGAGAGGAACTCCTCTGTTGAACAAAGTGTCATCTTCTACAATTGTAGTACAATCCGACCAGCATCATTATAAAAACGTTTCTTCCGTAGCCCACAAGAACGAGCATGAAGGAGGAAATCCAGCTGATGAATTACCACAGGCAGATGAGGGTGGGGGGAGAGGAGCTGCGGCCTCAGCATCACCAGGCTCAGCAGGTAATTTTCGACCTAGCGACCTGAATTGTCATTTCGGCAACGGTGTAAACAGGCAGCAGATACTCGTAGGTTCCTCTCCGGCAACGAGTTCAACGGCACTACCTCGTCGAAGCTATGAGGGTACATCTTCGAGGTATGACGGACCACCAGTGAGCGTAGGAAACGCCGGCACAACAAGTCGAGTTGTAGCAGTCTCACCAGGAGCTTCAGGAGCCGCGTCTCCAGGAGTAGATAACCAAATACAGTATAATAATCTTCAAGCTTCTTCACATCCTGGTCAATTACAAGGATCTGCAATACCCTTACCCGCACATCATCAGCATGTCCAATCTCTTTCTCCCCCTGTTCACCAAGTTCTACTTGAACAAGGATCAGCAGTAAGTGCACCACCGCATCCGCACATGCACAGCTCCTCAATAACCGCACAATCAATACACCTTCCTGCTGCTGTCCAACATCAAGTAGTTCAACAAGGACCTCCTTCGAGGACACCAATGCATCAGCAGTCAGCATCTTCGGGATCACAAGAAACCCAACAGCATGCACAGCAGCAATTACAGCAGTGGAACGAAGCAATGGACGTTGCCAAACCAATTTTAGAGCAGTTATGTCATATGGCGACCGCTGAAGATACCTTTGCAGGAAGTGCAGCTTTAAAAGCTATTCAGAAAACAGACGCAAATGGGAAGATTTCGCCTTTTCTCTTTCTGTCTACGATTGAGTCGGTCGCGCAGGCTTTGCGGTTGTGGCAAGAGCAGCAGCGAGACCTTGTCACCAAATTCGAAGAAGCAGTGCGACAACTAAAAGTCTCGAAGAAAGAAGTCATGGTACTACTTGTTGGAAATGGTAGGACTTGTATCGAACACTGTATAAATATGATGTTCAAGTATTTTGGTTTTGAAATTGCTCATCTTCAAACTGGACAACCGCTCTTCAAACTTCTCGATCAATTTTCACCTTCTTCAGTCCAAAGCCGTGGTTTCCATCGAGAGGAAAACTCGGAGGATAGAGGAGCTCGCAGGCAGCCTGGAACGGGCTAAAGGTGAGTTAGAACGAGCTCGACGATGGCGTGAGGACTTAGATCGTGCCATAAACGAAAAAGAGCGCTTGATCGCAGAAAAGCAATTACAAGAGCGCGAAATAGCCGACCTTCGTGCGCAGCTGCATCGACGTAGCAGGGAAGAAGATGATGATCAAGATAATTATGGCGCGAGCAGATTGTCTTTGTCATCGAAATCGTAGTTGTAGGCGCCGGTCGCCTTGAGATTTAGTTTTATCCAACTTTTGGTCCTCTAATATCACGAAGAAAAGAGAAAGGCAGCGGATGGCGCTAGACTGCAAGCGCTACAAAGACAAGTCGCAAATCTAGAGAATCGTGTGCAGTTGCACAACATGCGATCAAAGAGCACGCCGAGGCTATGTATCATCTGAATCTACTTATTCTTGTCATGGGAACGTGGTAGACGTAGAGGTAGCAGTAGTAAAATGCTTGTGACTTATGTATGAATATGATGCACACGACTTGTTTTTACTGTTTGTTAGAGCGCGTCACGGACGCCTACTTACATGATGGGACCTTCTTCAAACCTGACTCAGATCAACAGCGCGTGCTTGCGAGGGACGCAGGGGCAACCCCAGAGCGAACGCGAGGAAGGCAGGGGCAACGAAAGCCTCTTTACAACGTTGACACAAGTCAACTCTCAACCTACAGCAGGTACGTAGAAAGGGATCGTTTTGACAGAGGGCCATCTCTCTATCGTGGATAACCTAAGTACATCTTCATGATCCACATCCTCACGCTTAGTTTTGATTACACTACTGAAATTTGCAGTCGCATCTTCATGTACAAAAATGCTTCTGAATGAATACTTCTACAAGAGAATCTTGAATCTAGTGACAATCACGCAACAAGCGCAAACGCAAAAAGAGTTTCACTCTCATGCCTTGACTCCTACTAGAAATCCCAGGAAGAACAGAATATCCCGTATGCGGGACCTGGTTCAAATGAGACCGACGAATACGCTCTTGTCGTTCATGAAGATCATCTGAGAAAAATCTGATTCCGCCCAACCGATGCATCCGTGTCTTGTATGTCTGTCGCTCCTCTGTCTAGAAAAATTTCTCACGAGAAGTGTCTGTGCCCAGCTTCGGTATTTATCTTGGTGCTTTTGGTATTGTGCGGTCCTCACGCGGTAAACAGATCAGAGGGAGATCCTTCAATAACGCGTGAGAGAGTGGCATTAAAGAAGCCCCGTTTTCTCTTTCGATTCGATGTCTCCGTCTTTCCGAAGAGTACGCTGTTGAGTCATGATTGTCATCTTGTTGTGTATTCTTCCTCTCCTCGTCGCCTTTTCGCTTCTGGAAGTATTTTTTTATGTGTCTTTTGAACGCAGGGTTGGAATTGGAAGGATGTTTTTTCGACTAGCATCCTTTCGTAAGTACAAGTTGTGGTAGTTCGTTGTGGTCCACCGCGTCCGCGTATCGAGTCTGCATTTGATCATGATGCCGCTTTTCACTTTGATTGTTTTTTCATCGTCTGATGTGGGCCTACTAGTGCGATGTTGTCCTCAACATCTACTTCTACTTCAGTCAATTCAAAGCAGACCGCAAGCGGCAGAGCGACCTAAAGGATGAGGGGGAGGGAGAGAGCAGGACGCCAGAAGCGGAGCTCGTCATTGTCGTCTTCAGATGTCTTTTCTTCATCAACAGAAACAGAATCAGACGATGTTAACGACCAACATCCCCGACACCAGCGCTCCGCCACCGGCAGACCAGGAGCAAGCAGGGGCCTCAGGGCTTTGCGAATGAATGGCCCTCGAAATTATGATGAAAGTGATGTTGATAGTCTTCTACAGAGCAATCTCGCCTACGAAAATGAAGCAAATGGAAACGCTGAGGAAGGTCCTTCGGCAAGACGAGGACGGCAACGCAGATCGCCATCGTCAGACTCCGCATGTTGCAGCTCGAGCGAAGAGTATCCAAATGGCGAAAGGCTAGCTCGTGGGCATAGGACGCGACCGGTGTCATCAGCAACGAGTTTGGTTGAAAATGAGTGTCTGGAGAGGAAGTCAAAGTCTTCAGTCACATTTTCATCATCACCTCGGGCCTCTTCAAGAGCTCTTGCTGCCACCCGCCAGAAGTTCGGGACTGCGTCGGATTGTGCATCACTGCGACTTCAAGACGATAAAGAAGTGGTTCTTGCTGCCTGCCGGTCGAATGGGTATGCTTTGGAATATGAATCGGCTCGACTTAAAGACGATAGGGAAGTTGCTCTTGCTGCGTGCCAGCGCTCGGGGGGTGCGTTGAGATATGCCGCGCCTCGACTTCAAGACGATAAAGAAGTGGTTCTTGCTGCCTGCCAGCAGTGGGGGGGTGCGTTGAGATACGCCGCGCCTCGACTTAAAGACGATAGGGAAGTTGTTCGTGCTGCGTGCCAGCATTGTGGGTATGCTCTTCAATTTGCCTCACCTCGACTTCAAGACGATCCAGAATTGGTCGCGGTACTGCGCACGTGTTCTTCTTCGGCAAGTTTAATCGAAGGTGTCCGCGCTGACAAAGGACATGACCACTACCAAGCGTACAATGGCGTATCAACGTGCCAAATCGTCAAGAAGGAGAAAGAGAGGTCAGACGATCATCCTATCGACCCAGTTTCCCACAGCTCGACGAGTGATACAGAGAAGTCGCATGATGATATTGATGACAAAAGCCAAGGACCGGAAAAGCTTGCCCGTTTTTCTGGGGTGCGCAGTTGTCGCGGGACCTTGCGCCGGTTGCGTAGTCGTCGAACTTATGATGAAAGTGATGCTAGCGATTCCGAATCTTGTGATAATCCTCTGATGGGCAAAGACGCCTACGACGCAGTAGATCGAACTCAAGACGGTCATTCGATGAAGAGACGGGTACGGCAGCGCAGAACGTCCTCCTCAGATTTGTCTTCTTCATCTTCAACTGTGGTCGACAAGCTCAACATTTCGCAGTCATGGTCAGACTCATCAATGTCCTCATCACGTTCGTCAAATTTGATCGCACAAGAGAACGGCGTTTGGTGTAAAGGTAAACATGACCACGAAGATCGTGCGAATGATAGACACATCTCTTCGACAACGACGAGTGATGATGATTCCTCTACTTCATCAGTTGCAACGGGGAGCGACGAGGTACGACGACTCTACGCCGCTTCTGAAATTGGGGTTGATGACTTTTATTGTGTTGCAGAAAAAGGTCATGCTGCTCGTGACCTCCATTTGATAGACGAGAAATGCAGGCGGTCGTGTTCGAACTGCGGCGAGTTTAAGCCTCACAGAGATTTTATCTTGCCTTGTGCTGACGAGCGTAAGAAGATCGGGGACGAGAAGACATTGCAAAGTGACCGACGGAAGCCGAGGGAGAACAAGAAGACAAGTACGCTTTGTGAACTCTGCAGGGATTTCTCCTTACCTCCAGGTGGTTTCCGGGACTTACCCAAGTTCGTAATCCAGAGTACGCAGTCTACTTGGCACGACCAAGGAGAAGAAGCAAAAGAAAATAGGGTTGCGGACGGGCATCGTGATTCAGCTGCCGACTCAATATATGGTGACGTATGCCGCGATACAGAAATATACTACTTTGATACTCTGAAGCTGAAGTCCTCTCCACCGGGAGGAAGTGCTAGTGCTAAGACTGGTGGTGGAAGCAACAACTGTCACCGAGAAGATGATGCTGAAGAAGACCATTATTCCACAACTATCGCGCATCCCGATGAGGTCTGGCTACGCAAACTCGCTGTCACTGACTTCGAGAGCATGGAGATTCCAGAGGGATGGCTTGATCATGATACCAGTGCCACTGGTGACAAGAAAAACAGCAGCAACTACAGGAAGACTTTTTCGCGCGATGCGGTAAGTGATTGTGTTTGGGCGGAAGTCGAGCGTGAGGTGATTAGAGGAAACGATGGCACGCGTCGGGCTCTAAGTCGCTATCGTTCTAATCGGCGTTTTTTCTCAGTGACAGACTTCGAAAGACTGGACGACATTCGGCAACTGCTCTGCTCCTGCGACACGGACGACAAAGATGCAGCTACAATTAAGGCTGGTAGTAGAAGTACAAGTACTTACACTTATTCATTGTCAAATCTGTTGAGAAATGAGAAGTTTTTTGAACGGTACAGTTTCCTTTTTATCCTGCTCTAATGCAAACAGCTACTTTGCTGGACCGCAAGATAACCCCTTTTCCAACCGAGGGCTACAGCATGTTGGGGCCGATTTGCTCGTAAGATTACTTCGAGAGCGAGCGTGGTTGTACGCGCGTGGCATCTGCCTTCCATGGATGGAACGCGCCACTGACGTTTTCCCCTTTGTGGAAGACATCGATCTCCTTGACGGACGCTATGTGTGGGAAAATGATCATCCTCCGACGCGGGGCAGCACTGCTACTCGTAGTGCAATCAATAACAAGAATATCTCGGGAATAAGCCGGTCTCGTCGTGTCGCTATGGTAGCTGGAAGCCTTCGCGCGCGGAAACACTCTGCACTTTCTCCCGACGTGGCAGCATTTCCAGAGCGATGCGCGATGCTTTTTGATCTGCACGACGGAGATTTCCTTCGTCGCCGGGCTCGGGTTCTCCAACGCATGTTTCCCCGACAGAAGCTGGAGTGTGTCGTTTACTCTTTATGCTTCCGCTGCTTTTTTTCATATTCAGAAACATCAAAAGTGATTCAATAATAAATATTGATATTCTTCATTAGCATAACCTATTGCTATCATCCTCTGAACATGGGTTGAAGTCTTCACTTGTTGAAGAAAGAGAATCTACAGCTCGTTAATTCCCTTCTTCATTGAATTCGTCTGGCTGGTCCGCAGAGAAGCAAAAGATGAAAATTTCCCTGCACTTGGTTTGGCCGCATCTGCTAGTGACGCGTGATATGTGCCGAGAAATTCGTGAGGAAACGCTACGCTACTTCCGCGAGTGTCGTGGTGATCCTTATAGAAAGGCTTTACGCACGGAGCTTGGGGCGACGAAGCTCACTGAGGTGAAGACTTCGCGAAACGTTCTTTCCTCTCTTTACTTAAGGCTGTAAGCACTTCGTCTTTGATATTGATTGTGTAATTGTACTCACAGCTCTAATTTATCGTATAACGATACAACTGCAACGCCTCTAGCTAGGCACATACATACATACATACATACATACATACATACATACGCACATACATACATACATACGCACATACATACATACATACATACATACCTACATACATACATACATACATACGCACATCCATCCCTACCTACCTACATACATACATACATACATACATACATACATACACACACTCATACTGGATTGCCACGACACATGCGATTTCTATCTTCGTAGTAAAAGTTATGCGGGGATCATGAGTTTTTTTTAGCTCCAATCTACAGACACGGATTTCTTCGAAAGCGAAATGCGTCTGATGAAGCTGATATGGTCAAAAACTGCAGCATTCGTGATGAGACGAGAATAATGGAAATCCGCAACTTGCCCGAGTATGAGCGCAACGGCAACAAGCGCCAAGGCGATATCTTGATTGAACAAGGCTGGCGACTCATCAGCGTGCGACCATCATCTTCATCACCTAGTGGACAAAAAGAAGGGAAGGAAAGGGAGCTCCATGGCAATGGCACAACACGACAGGACCTCCTCCTGCTCGACGGCAATCAACATCAAAAGCCGCCCGCTTCGTGGACTACGGACGAAGCGGTAGTGTTGACATTCGAAGCTGATCCTTGGGCGGATATTTTCGACGACGTGGTGGCCCGTGCAAACCAAGGCTTGCGGCCACCCTTTGCCGATAAGCGCTCGTGCATTATACCGCCACGCATTTTTGAGGAGGACATGCTTCTGTATCCATCCGATTTCGGGTATCCAACATCTCGCAACGCGAAGCGAGACAGGGTGCAGGCGATAATGCGAAGCAATTCTTCACTTGACTTCGTGCAGGGCAAAAAC